AGGTGCGCAAAAAAAAGGTCGCATTTGTCCCACCCCTCAAAAAATGAAGCAAAAATCACGAGCCTCGCATTATATATGACACTTTTTAAAGATACTCAGCCGTTTAACGGATTTGGTGGAAAATCACCTTCCAATGTAAAAACTGATTTTTTTTTTTTGAAAAACCTGGGGATAGGCTACTTTGGGTCAAATTTTTTGCGCAACTAGGTCTTTTGCCCAAATTGCCATAACTTTCCTCGAAGTTCGCCAATCTTTATGATGTTGGTTTCATTTTTTTTGCACTTATTGATATCTACAAAATGAAACCAAAATCATAAAGATTGGTTCACTTAAAAGAAAGTTTTGGCGAGTTGCGCAAACGACCCTGTTGCGCAAATAAAATGGCGGAAATTAGCCTACCCCAAAACCTGCGCAAAAAAATTGCTTTTATATTTTTTTTCGCGCAGGCGCACTTTTTAGAAAACGCATTACTAGCTACTACTCGAGCTACTACTCGAGCTATTACTGGAGCTATTACTGGAGCTATTACTCGAGCTTTTACTCGAGCTTTTACTCGAGCTTTTACTCGAGCTATTACTCGAGCTAAAAAATCAATCATGCAAATTTACTCGAGTAATTACTTACTCAGGAACACACTCTAACAATTAGCATGAAATGAATGATTGAATTAGAACCATTTATTGATACAACGAATCGTTTCATTGGTCATGAATTTGATCTTTTCGTCGAAAGCATCCACAAATGATGGATTATCTGGAATAAAGAGCTTTAGAAATATTGGAAAAACTTTATCGTTTTCCCCAAAGGTGGCTAGTTTTTAAAGTTACCGTAATCTTTTCTTTCAATCTTTTTATTTACTTATGATCCTTGATGAGGAATCAAACTGGGAAAAGAATTTGATCAAAAATTCCGTATAACTGACAAAATCTAAAAGCAATCTTAGAGAGGTTTCCAAATAGGCCACGTTTTAGAAAAAAAAAAAAGGCAATATTGTAATCATGAAACTATAGAAATTTCATTGAAGTTTCTTTTTGGCGGTTTTTTGATATCGATTTGTTTTTCATTTAAAACTGACTGATATTTGTGCCTAAAAGCTGCTCTTTCGATGTCGTATACCAGGGCATCAACACCATTATACAATACGTAGTTTGTGTTTTAGTTTTTTTTTTTTTTGTTCTATTTTGCTTGTTATATCTCTGTAAAGCAATGCTTAAATTTCCCCTTTCGTCAGAATTGCATTTGTTTTTCATTTAAAACTGACTGATATATGTGCCTAAAAGCTGCTCTTTCGCTGTCGTATACCAGGGCATCAACACCATTATACAATACGTATATGAAACTTCATATTGTTGAATGAACTAAAAATTTTGAGTTGAAAAGATGAAAAGACAAACAAAAGAAGTTACATTTTCGAGATTCGACCACGGCATGGGCAGGTTGGTGACGGATTGCTTGAGATTATCATAGTAGTAGTGGAGGTAGTCGTTTTTTCTGAAAAAAATTATATGAAAGATCTGTGGAAGATTATCTATTCTTTAGTTAAAGGTATTAGAAAGTTGTCGTAAAATTCGTTTTTATCAAGTTTTTATGTGTGTTTTCATCAAACACTTTCAATCTTTCGCATCTTGTACCATCTTGTAGTTCTTCGATGAACCAACCACAATTTACCCGTTATTTACTTCAAACCAACGGGTTATTTGACACGAATTCGATAACGAGGATAAAATGTGCAAGGATTTAAGCAAAATTGGAGATTTCTTCAAAACAGAAGCAACAATTCAAATGATTTCATTTTTTGTTTTAAAACACTGAGGAAATGGGGGTAGTCTGCGCAACTGGGTCGTTTGCGCTGGGCTTCTGGGCTCGCCATAACTTTCTTCTAAGTCGGCCAATCTTTATGATGTTGGTTTCATTTTGTTGCACTTATTGAGATCTACAAAATGGCAACAAAATCATGAAGATTGGTTGACTTAGAAGAAAGTTATGGTAGATCTCAATAAGTGCAAAAAAAAAATGACACCAAAATCATAAAGACTTAGGAGAAAGTTATGGCGAGTTGCGCAAAAAAAAAATTCCGGAAATTAGACTACCCCAGGAAATGAACAAAATATTGAAGAGAAAAAGGGATTTTAGGTGAGACAACAATTGAGCCAGTCTTTAGTACTTTTTCGTAGTCGTACTTTTCTTACTTCGGAACTTTGGAACTACTTTTAAATAGAAATTTGTAAACTTGAATGTAAATAGCTAAATATTTAACAGTTTTAGAAAACAAACTTTTTCGGATATGTTTCCGGTGAGAGAGCACTGTGCAAGAAGTAGACGAGATCCTCGGTGGGAGATCCCACATTCAGCAACTGCAAAAAAGGGCTATAAAAAAAAGGGCTTTGGTGTGCCGGAAAGTGAATTTTATAGATGTTTAAACCCAAAGTACACGTAGAAATGTTTACTCGATAGTTTTTTTACAGTTTTTAGCAAGATTAAGTCTAATTTCATTTCATGAAGTCTAATCTCATTTCATAAAGTCTAATTTCATTTCATGAAGTCTAATTTCATTTCATTATCAATTTCCACAAAAATTTCATTAACAAAAAAACAAATCTCTTGAGCTTTTTATCTAAAGAAATGGTAAAATTTTGAATTCAGAACTGTAACTACTGTATCAGAAAGCACTTTTTTAAAAATGGTTTAGGCTTTTAAGCACTTTTTTCAGTGAAGAACGTTTCAATGATGTGCAATGATGACTTGAAAGTGGCTGGGGTTTTTGGCTAATCAAATTGCCTGAGCAAAACGAATGCCTAGAATTTGCCTAGCTGTAAGTTCTGTCGTAGATGTGGCTAAATCTTGCCCAAATTACTCTACCAATTACCCCACCCAATCACCTATTCTTGCCTACCTGCCAGTCGAGAATCGCGGCGAGATCAACGCTTCCGTTCACGTTTCTTTGCCACAAAACGTTCGGCGTCCACATGTCACCATGGCAAAGAACTTGTCGATCGCCTAAAAGAATAATAAAAACTTTCAAATAGATCCTCTTTACTTGTCGACTTTCTTAAATCCATAAATCTTTTGAAATCTCCAAAAATCAAATTAGTCTTTGCGAGCATTTTGTCGATTTGTGAGGTAAGCTTTGGGTAGAGATCTTTCATCGTATTTAAACGGCCATCGATTTTCTGAATTTCATCATTTATTATTCAGTAGATCAGTTTCATAAATCAAAAAAATTTCTAAAACACAGAAAAGCTACCGCAATCGTTCTTCCTTGTGCTAGCAAGGCATTCATCGCGGCGTTGTCCCACACTTTTAGAATGTCCGGGTTTTTCAGGGCTAAAAAAAAAACACTTAGCTTAGTAAATGCTGTAAAAATATTGTTGCCTTTTCGTTTCCAAAAGTTTCCAAAACTTTCGATTCACTCACACGTGGCGGCGAGTTGAACGAGCTGATCGAGCACTTGCAGAACTCCATCATCGGGCACTTCCTGATAGATCTGCAACATCTCACCGACAACATATTCTTCTGCTAAGTAACCTAAATCATTTTTTGAAATTTCTTTTAAAAGCAAAACTCTTTTACCCATATTGATTCCATTTTCACCAAATTTCCGTCCACAATAGAAACCAGGAACTCGTAGATTTTCGGGCAAACCAAGCTCTGTTTTGTTTGTTTTGTTTGCCTCGAAAAATCTCAACTCTGTATCGTTCATCTAAAATTTTGTTTCAATTTTTTATTGAAAACTGAAATTACTAATGATTCTAGTGATGGTTCTGTTGAATTTTCAAGATTTAAATCCTGTTGAATGATTTTGATGATGGCTTGCTTTGGAAGAGATTGGAGATCATTCGGATCTTGTGATATCCATTCAAAAGTGATCAAAGCAAGCTTAGAGATGAAACCCTGAATTGAAATGAATGAATTTTTCAGTTTAACAAGTAAATTATTGTATAAGAATGTTTGTGAAGGCAAATTTTCGTTATCAAAGTTTCTTTTCCTACCGCTCCATCGCCGATCGGATGAGCCGTTGTGGTGGGGCCGAGTGTAGCCGTTGCGTTCAGTGATTTTTGTAGATCTTCTTGTAAAATCGCCCAAGTGAGTGGTGTGCCGAAAATGCCGTCACTTAGCCAACAATTGATCATTTCAAATTGTATTCTTAACTGAGCGAACCCGACACCAGGACTACATTGCTAGTTTATGCCTATAAAATATGAGGCGTCACTTAGAGCATTTTCTTAAATTTGTATTCTTAAACTGAAACTTGAACTCTCATGACAACTCACGATCCTGAAAACGATTGATCATTGTCTAAGTTTGTGCTCTTTTATAAAATTTAAAACTAGAGCTCATGATCCCCAAAAAACGTACCAATGAAATTACTAATAATAAAAGTTTATTCATTGTTGAAAATAGTAAAGCTTAGTTCTTGTGAATGTTTAAAAATTTTCACACAAAAATCGTGTGTGCATTTTGATTGAAATTTCTCTTTTTCTAATCACAAAAGTAATCAGAAATTCGTTTTTAATTCAAGCTTTTGTTTTAAAAAAAAAGAAAATAGATAATGGAGAAAGAAAATTGAGAATTTGAAAAGAAAAACAGTTGAAATTGAGAGAAGAGACAATTGATTTGATTGAAAAAGGGGAAAAGATTAGTCCTAATCCTTTCTTGAACTCAGAAATGTCCTCAACGAAAAGGTGTACTCAAAAGAAAGCCTTAAGAAAGCCTTTGCCTTTTTCAAGTTTCAAGTGTTTACAAATTTTTGAGCACAACGTTCATCATTGAACGTTCATTTTGTAAACGCTCACCGTCTGACGCACTAGTGAGAATGAGAAAAACAGAAACAGTAGCTATTTAAACAAAAACAGAAACAGTAGCTATTAGCCAACAGATTTAAAAGGATTTCAATCAAGATTTACTTGTGCTCACTGGATCCAACTCTTTAATCAATAAATATTTATACATGGCAACGAAAACTTGTACTGAGAATCAAGAAAATGATAAACGTTTGGTTATTCAGCCAATTGAGCAACAGCATAATCCCCAGTGACCATCCATTCGTATGAATCTTCGCCGAATTTCGCTTTCATTTTTGCCACAGTTTCCTCAGTGAGTCCAGGTGCTGTTTGAGCTTTCATCGCACGAAGAGCAAGAAGGGGACACGGTTTGAAGCCGCGGAGAGTTACCTCCAATTTGAATTAATAGAAAATTAATAGAATTAATAAAATTAATAAATTAATAGAAAACAGAGTAAGGCATAAAGCCCTACTATATCGGCCAGGAGATACGTGTCCGGTAGCGCGTTGGTAGAGCGTTCGCCCGGTAGGCGAGAAGCGAGAAGCGAGAAGCGCGGGTTCGAATCCCAGCCTTGACTACTTTTTGGATTCCCAGCTCCATAAAAGGATCAGTATGGGCCCCAATCAAGATATAACCACTATTCGTGACCTCAAGTTCTCAAGACGGCTCAGCTGGTTCAGTTTTTTCATTTCTTTCATTCTATTTCAGGCTTTCATGCTTTCAGGTGCTACCTTTTCCTTCGGCCCTTTTCCTTCGGTTATGCTAAACCTATCAAAAAAATTCATTTCAAAGTACCACAAATAGTGGCTTTAATCGCTTAAAATCTCAGCTTTATCCAACAAAAATTGTTTGAATGATCTTAAAATTTCGAAAAATTTACCTCAAATGGTGTTACATGAGGCCAATATCGATCACCGGTTAATTTGCGAAAATTGAGATCACCTTTAAAGATCAAAAGAGACGATTGCGAGAGATCTTTGTATAAAGCGGGAGCATGCTGAAAAAAAAATGAAATAAATGAATCCATCAAAATTCGATTATATTAAATGTTTATTTTCGACTGCTCACTCACTTTTTCCATATTGTAAAAAGCGTAAGGAGTTGTCCAGAAATGGTCGGCTTTATAGGTGAAAGAGTTCTTGAAAATTTTCGATTAATCAACGAATCAACGTATAAGGAAAATGAGGAATAAGGAAAATTTACATTTTGAAGTCTTTGTTTCCACAAATCCCCAGCCCATTTCGAGTGTTGTTGATCGATTTTGGTGAGACGATCGAAAGTCCACACGAAATCCCGTTTTATTACATCCGAAACAAACCACGGGTATTCCTAAGAATCTATCAATGTTAATTTTCTAGTAAACTAGTGTCTCTAGATACGTCTAATGTCTCTACATCAATAGTGATCGTAAAAATAACCTAACTGAACTGAACTGGGTGAACTGACCTTTCCATGAAAGACGACTCGATCGGCCAACTTGTGAGCGAGAAGGAATTCACCGATCATCAAATCGCCCATCAACTCGAAACCAGCATTGTCGAGAATAATGTCAACTTGACGATTTCCTCTGAAACGATTTCCTCTTTCCTCTAGACTTTTAGTAAAGTTTTTGACATTAGCTAACATTAGCTAAAAATCAACACTCACTTTAAGTTCATTAAATGATCAGCGACTTTCTCGAAGTGATCCACTAAGAGATACTCGTCTCGAGCTGCCGCCGATTCCACTGGAGACTTTGCCTAGATTTTTGAAATCCAACAATTCAACTAGTTTAGATTATTATTAAATAAAAATTGTGATTATTTGCGAACTTATTTATTTATTTTTTACTCACTTGTTGCGATTTTTCTCCACCGGAAAGCGAGAGATCGGCTTTATTTCCCCAGAGTGAGATCTAGATTTTAATCACTTTACAAATCACAAATCTATTTACCTTTTTTTAGCTAATAAAGGTTTTTCTTGAAAAATTAGCCATTCACCTTGAGCAAAGTGATCAATTCCGATCGAATCTCCTCGTGTGTTTCTTTCTTTTGGCATTTCTCGTGTAAAAACTCAAGCAACTCTTTCGTTTGCTCAATGCTAAAACGATTAGAGTTCTTGGTTTTTGATTTTCTTTTAAAATCTTGATTCTCTTTTAAAATCGAATTTCCTCAAAACCCACTGATCTTCTAAGCTATCATCTTTCTGTTCAGCAAACCAATCATAGTCTCTCAAGAGTTTCGTCTTTTGCACGGCACTGTAAACTTTCCGATAGAGGTAACACTCGACGAAAAGCCAATCGTGTTTGAACCAAGTGAAACGTTGCTCATCCTGAACAGAATTCATGTTTTAGGAATAAAGTAAAGAATCGAAATGGCAAAGAATCGAACCATCAACCTTCTGCTTACCGGGTAAATGCCCTCCCACTGAGCCATCGGCACCAGAAAAAATGGGGAAAGACAAGGAAGAAGAAGAGGGAAATACCCGGATTTTCAGAACCTTGGGAATGTCACAGACGAGATATATTTTGACTGATTTTATTAAAGTAACCAGCCTTCCTGGCTGGATGTTTTGGGGCTAACGCATAGTTTGATCTCTCAAGTTAAAAGGGCCCCTCCTCTCCTGCGCCCCCTCCAAGACCTCCAAAACAATACTGGGATCTATATCTTAATCCTTTAAAGCAAAAAAAAATTTTGGAACGGGGGATTAGAGCAGTCGACACCCGACATCCCGGTTAGAGCAGTCGTTTTGTAGACGGGACGCCAACCACCTCGACGACTCCCCAAGGGCAGCTGAATGTAAAAAGTGGCATGGCTAAGTGGTTTTTCTGATTTTTTTACGGGTTTTTGATGAAAAACTTGTTTTGTTTAATACTCAACCAAAAGCTATGTACCTATTCATTTTTAATTTCCTATCGATCAAGAAAAAGTTTGTCGAAATCGGCTCACGGGAAGCCGAGATCCAGAGTGTTAGGGACGGACAGACAGACGGACATTTCTCTTTTCTATATAGTAAATAACGCGAATACCTGTTCCCTGAAAGCTTCGCACATTTTATTCCACTCGTCAACATCATAAAAGTTGTCGTTAAGATTCTCAATAGGTTTATCAGTGCCCATTCTGTATCGCATTTCCGAGAGATCGTGAATAACAAGTTTTACATCAGCGTCAGCTTCCTGATAATATATATGTCGTAGCCGTTTACGAAATTCAGCCGTTAACGAATGATTCGTAAAGGGCTAGCCGCTAGCGAATGACATTTTTCGTTGGCCGCTAACGAATCGTTCGTAATCGGCTAGCCGTTAATGAATGATTCGTAAACGGCTAGCCGTTAACGAATCGTTCGTTAGCGGCTGAATTTCGTAAACGGCTACGACATATTTATATATAGATAAATATAAAATTTTGTTTGAGAATCTTTTTTTTGACCAAACCTCTCCATATTCCTTCATCAATTTTGGTCGATTTCGATGAAAATGATCGACGATTTTACCAAGAATTTTCGGCCATCTTTCCAAAGCAGTTGCATAGGCAAAAGAACTAAAAAGATTTGAATAGGAAATGTTCTTTTCTTCGGGTTGATTCTTGTCTTCGTTTGTTTCAGTTTGGCTAACTCGAACTCGAACTTGATTAGTTTTTGATTCGTACAAGGTGCAAAAAGCTTTTAAACGAGAAATATATTAACTCTTTTCAGAGTTTGTAGTTGAAAAAGCTGTTTGTCTATATGTTTGTTAAAAAAAGAGTCTAATGCTGTCTAATGCTCAAATATAAAATGATTGTGAAAAATCTTTATCAGAGTTTGTAGTTGAAAAATCCGAGCCTGAGCCTGAGCCTAAGCCTGAGCCTAAGCCTGAGCCTGAGCCTAAGCCTAAGCCTGAGCCTAAGCCTGAGCCTGAGCCTAAGCCTAAGCCTGAGCCTAAGCCTAAAAGCCTGAGCCTGAGCCTAAGCCTAAGCCTTACCCGGGTTTCTCGCAAGTGATTTTTGGCGCTAGCGTTTCGATGCTTTCATTCATGGAGATGCTAAAATTTTGTAGACACGAAATCACGGGGAAATGCGGAATAAAGCGACGAGACGATAACATTGCAAAATATTGGTGAAATGGAATGGAAATAGAATGAAAATGAAGCTGAAAACAAGGCAAACGAGGCAAAAGAAAGTACAAGACCAAAAAAATGGAGGGAGATGTGGTAAACAAGTTTTTCACCAAGAAAATAATTCAAAAGTGTAGGTTGTAGTCGGAAAGGGCAGATGGGAGGATAAAGGATGGATAAGGAAGAAAGTTACCGTAATCCTGACTTTTATATTCGGTGTTGAGGTGAGAGAAATGAAAGAAAAGAAAAAGGAAAAAGAAAAAGGAAAAAGAAAAAGAAAAACCAATCTCTTTCTCCTCTCTTTCTCTTTTTTGATGAATTTTAAAAACAATTTTCGATAAACATTTCTTTTCTTTGTGTTATCGATCTTGGATCTTGAAGAAATTTACTCAAAATTCAAGAAATTTGACTTAACTTTGTTGATCAACTGTAAGAAATATATGTTTATGATATTGATCTATATAATCTCTTGTGAGACCGTGTCTCGGTGTGGTTCAATAGTGGTCTTCTTGTAAAAGGCACAATTTATCCAACTAACTTTCCCTTATTAGGGCAACTTCGCTCAAACTGGAGCAATCTGGCACTATCACAAATGGTTCAACACTTGCATATGAAAAAAAGGGATGATAAAAAACAAAAAAAGGACAACAAAACTCACTCAAAAGCAAAGCTTAAATAACGGGTTTTTTTAAGTATACATAGAAATAGAAAATAGAATAGAAAAATAGAAAAAAAAGATCGAATTGTGCTTTCTGATTTGCAATTTTCTCTGTATCTGTTACATGGTTTAATTTCTTTTTAATTGAATATCTTTTCTTTAATTGATTTAATTGATACCAATTGATAGAAGTCGCGTTTATTTTTGGCTTTTTGGTAAGAGGTGAAAGCCGGTTTTTATTTAAACAGGGAAGAGAAAGAAAAAAGTGAGAGAAAGGAAGGACTGAATAGACTTACGAAAAGGAAGCTTTTTGTGTTTTCGTTTTTTTTTGTTCCATTTTGCTTGTTATATCTCTGTAAAGTAATGCTTAAATTTCCCCTTTCATCAGAATTGCATTCATATTTTCTTTTTTCTTTTTTTAAACCTTATTTTTTCAGGTCGATTCATCTATGCTTAAACGAATAAAAGCTCAAGTGACGCAAGTGGCGAATGAGGTGAGAATTTGTGAATTTCAGAACTGCTTTATATTAGTGGGATATTGTTGGACTGTTTAAAGTGTTTGTTTACATTTTCCGAGTGCAATCAATATCGATCACATTTGAGCGTTTCAGTTGCCCGATCTTTTGAATAATTCTGGACGAGAGGCGAGTAACGGCAAGAATTCTGCAGGTTGGGAAAAGAACTTTTCGAAATAATAAATGAAGATAAACTTTTTGGTGAAATTGATTTCAAATCTAGTTTCCAATCTAGTTTCCAATCTAGTTTCCAATCTAGTTTCCAATCTATTTCCAATCTAGTTTCCAATCTATTTCCAATCTAGTTTCCAAATCTAGTTTCCAATCTAGTTTTCGACATTTTCCGCCACTTTACATAACGAATTTGCGTTTTAAAAGCCGGGGGAAATAAGTAAAAAAAGAATCAAAGTTTCTTCAAAAGTTGAATACAAAATAATATTACTGAAAACATTACACTTATTCAGATAATTGTCCATGTTTTTTTCCCCGGGCTTAACACGCAAATTCGTTATGTTTCCCCCACAAAATCCTATCCTAAGCCTCGGCAAACACTTTACGTAAGAAAGAGTTCCAAACGATCGTCAAATCTTTGCACATACTTTAATGGTTGTTCGTAGAAATCGTTAGAAAACGGGGTTTTTGCGTAATTGATATGCAAATTTAAGTATTGAGTGTAAATTTGCTGAATTTATGGGAAAAATTCAGGTGAAATGCCGGGTGAATGTGAGGGTTTTCTTTGTCCAATGTGTATGACTCCATTCCCATCACCTGACGATTTGAGTTTACATTTTGAGAGAGCTCACACCTCGGACACTATGGTAAGACTTTTAAAAAGACTTTCTATGTATTTCTATGTATTTCTATACAATTAAAGCACGAAAACTATTGAGTTTTTATAATAAACTTTAGCTAAAGAAGAAGATTTCTATAAAAGATCATTTAGCAACCGGTTACTTCACTGGAAAATCCGAATTTTCTGACTACCGACGATGTGTTGATAAATCGAAGAGGTAACAGAATTTTATCAAGATAAAGAAGAATGATTAATATATTGCTGATTAATATATTGCTTTCAAATATTTTTTTCAGCTTCAACCACCTCATCAACCATTGGCTTCTCAACAAAAGAAGAAGAGATTCAAGAGTTGAAACATCAGTTAAAAGACGAGAAATGGTTCTCAGCGGAGTTGAAAAAGGTTTTGAATAAAGTCAAGATGATTGATTCGTTTAATTTGAGGAACTTGATCGAATACAAAGCATTTTTGCTCAATCGCAAGACGTTCCGAAAGAAGAAGTGCCATATTTGATGCAACAGATACAAATGTTGGAAGCGGGGAAAAGTATGGGTGAGTGAGCATCTTCAAAAAAAAAACACAACAAAACACTAACAAACTTAGCAACTTAATGATGATAATAGTACGATAGGAGTTAAATGATTAAAACAGAATCATAAAACCTAACAAAAAGTTATGTAAATAATGTTATGTACAAAAAAGTACAATAACAATTAACAATAAGTTATATAACTAGGTAAACATAAGAAATTGTTTAGTAATTGTTTAAAATTTTGTTTTTTATCAATAGCTATTAAAAAGATTTGGTTAAATGGTTCAAGATGGAAAGGTTTAATTGCAAAACTCTTTCCACAAAGTCTTTATTTATAAAAGAGACTTTTAGAAGCTGTGTTTTTATGTTAATATTAAACATTTCTTTAATTAAGTCACTCAACGAATGCTTGAATTCGAGAAAGAAGGAAATCAGTACAAGCGGCAACTCGAGTACACTGTTCAAGAAAAGAAAGAGGTTTGTGGATCTAGGGAAATCGCTTGGCTTTCTCATCGCTGGTCCTCGTTTTTTTTTTTAAAGCACATCAATCATCAATCAGTTGATTAATCAACAACGAGAAATATTTGGTTTTGGGGGAAAGCAAAAGTGGGGATTTCTAGATATGGGAACGATTGAAGACACTCACCGAGAAAATCCGGCAACTCACTGAAGAAAACGAAGAGAAAAAGGTTTGTAGGGAATGTGTTTTTGATTTTTTTTTATGTGAACTATTAGCAGGTCTATGTTTTGTTTTTTGAAAGTATTAGTGTTACTGTTTGCTGTACTCGAGATCTCTATCATTTTTGTTTGCTTTCTCGCATGAAGTGCACCCGTTTTGAGTGTAATTTGCGTGATATTCAGTTTTCAAAAAACAACTTTACTGATTTAGACAGAGAATGCGGTGATGTGCGAAGAGCTTTTGCGGGTGAAAGGAGCGATGGCCGATTTGGAAAAGGAATTGGACAAGTTGAGTCAGACACTCGATGAGAGGTGGGGCTATTGGCAGAGATGGTTGGAAACTAAAGTTTTTGACTGGCTCTGACTGGCTTGACTGGCTTGAGCCGGCTCCTGACTGGCTTGAGCCGGCTCCTGACTGGCTTGAGCCGGCTCCTGACTGGCTTGAGCCGGCTCCTGACTGGCTTGAGCCGGCTCCTGACTGACTCACGAAATGTGAACAGCTTAGCCAGGTCGGAGCCCTTCATGACCTGGCCTAGCTTTAGCTTTATCTAGACTTGATCTAACTCATTAAAGTCTTCGAACATCCTAGTGCTATGGCTAAACTTAGCTTCTAACCTGTCCGAGCTCTTGGGCCGGCTCTTGAACTTGCATGGCATTGGAACTGGCATTGGAACAGTCTTAGATGTGTATAAATAAAAATACAATGTTTAATACGATACAAACTTCAATATAAATACAATGTTTGTAAAAATGACACTTTGTAATGACACTTCTAGACCCTCTGAAGACGATGTGACTGTGCTGAGGAAAGAATTGGTGCGCGCACAACAGTTAATGGATGAGATCAGTCTACATAAAGATGGAGAAATGAGACAACACTTGGATCAACTACGAGAATTGAGCACGGAAAGGGAAAAGTCGGCATTGATAGAGTATTCATTTCAAAGCACGAGTTTAGGTTGAAATTCGTCGTCAACGAGTTGCAGCGACAGATCAACGATTCGGGAGAGCAGAGCTCGAAGTGAGCTTTTCAAATTCAAGAAAAATATATTCCTTTATTATCTAGGCAAAACGAAGAATTTAGAAAATCCGAAGAAAGTTTTCAATTCAAAGCCCAGCTCGATTCATCGATGATCGAATTGGAAAATCACAAGCAAAAAGCCGCAAATCTCACAACAGAGCTTGAGGGGACGATTCAACTTTTGGCGGAGGCGGAGAAACGGTGAGAAATTGTTCTGAAAATGTTCTAAAAATGGCTTTAGAACAATTTTGATTAGAATATCTAATTTCAGAAGCATTTCAATTGCGAAAGAGTTAGAAGAATCGAGGAAACGAGTTGATGAGGTTGAATTGAATTGAAATGTTTCCAAAACAAAAAGTTTTCAGCTGGAAATCGATTTAACGGCTAGTGGGAAAAGCGCTGATGATTTCAACGAATCAAATAAAACAAGCAGAAAGAAGATACAAGAATTGAAAGAGGAATTGAAAAAGGTTTTTCTAATGAGAATGCGATTGACAAATGAATGATTGACAAATGAATTGATTTCAGTTTGATGAGGCCAAACAACAACTACAAGAACAACTCTCAGAAAAAGAAGAAAATGAGAAAAAGGTTGTTTATTTGAAAAAAGTCATCTTTTAGATACTTTCAGTATACTGTTTAAAAGTTTAAAAGTTATATTTAGGCATACTATAGGCATATTATAACACCTACCGTAAATACTGTAATAGTACCCCACCCCCTCGTACAGTCGGGTAGTCGCAAAAGTTTTTTTAGTATTTCATTTTTTTCAAAGCGCCCGTACTTTCAAAAAATGCGTCTTTGATATCAAAAAATAGCTGAAATTCAGGGCTATTTTTTGATACCTAAGCGAGCATTCTAGCTTAAACCAGTCTCGAGAAAAACTCGTTCAAAGCTAGACTACGCAACACTCCGCACCGTCATTACGGGGGTGGGGTACTATTACACTATTTACGGTAGGTAGATTGGCGAAAAGCAAGCCAAAGAGCTTGTGCTTGTAAGCGCATAAAGTACATACCGTAGATACTGCAATAATACCCCACCCCCGTAATGAGTGTCGAGAAAAACTCGTTCAAAGCTAGACTACGCAACCTTCCGCACCGTCATTATGGCGGTGGGGTACTATTACAGTATTTGCTGTATAGTATGCTTGATCATTTAGCTTGAACAAGTCAACAAAAATCTCGTCATCGACGTGACAACTTTGAGCGGAAAATTGGAGAATGAGAAACGAGGGAATCAAGAAAAAGTTGGACAGATATCAAAAAAAAGAAAATTCGAGATTTAAGAATGAACAAATCAACAATCAACACCAGAAAATCTCGGAATTGAGTGATCAAGTGATCGATTTGCAGAAAGAATTGTGTAAGAAAGATGGTTGGTGAAAGAAATTAAAGATATTTCTTTCTTTTATATCGAATTTAGGCATTATTGACGTAAAGGTGGCCATCATTGAGACACAAACGCGAGAAATTGGCACACTAAAGGAAAACGCGAGTGATCTTTTGTCAAAGGTTTGTACGGGAAAAAGTGATTTGTACTTTTTTTTATAGATTAAGCTAATAATTATAGTAATTTATACACATTGTAAACTGTAACTGTAACTGTAATTTATAACTTTATAAACTGTAACTGTAATTTATACACATTTTAAACTTTAACTAAAGATCTTCTTCAGATCTCTGAGGGTGAAGGTGGGGCAAAAGTGGCGATCGATCAACTCAACGAAGAGAAGAAACGATTGCTGGAGGATATGAAAATGATAGGTGCGTTTAACACTGATACTGATTTATTTTTTTTCAAACGTTTCTGAATTCTGAAAACGGAATCTCTAGGTGATCTGCAAAAAGAGCAAAAAGCCGAGCTGGAGGAGAAGATTTTCACGTTGGAGAAAGAGTCGAGAGAGAAAGAGAAAGAAAAAGCTCAACTCGAGATGCAGAAAACTTTGATGGAAAACGATTTGAAACAAAAGTTGTCAATTGCTGAAGAAGAGATTATCAGAAAGGTTTACAGAAGAAAATGACATAAAGATCGAATGTTTTGTCTGTAGGCTGAGTGTTTTGTCGAAATGGAACGAGATCGAGATGATGAGAGGAAAAAGACGGGAGAGCATTTTAAACAAATCAAAGCTTTGTGTGCGGAGAAAGAGCTGAAGATTGAAGAAAATGTTCAAAAAAATGAAGAAGTGAGTTGGAAATAGGGCAGATCAAAAACTCCGTGCAGCGCCGGAACTCGAACCCGCGAACTTTCGCTTACGGGGCAACTGTGCTAACCACCACACCCCAACGTACTTGATCTCCCTTGCTCCAGAGGGAGTTAAATTCCCTCCTCTCTGGCCAAGAGATTCCACACGTCTCGATTTATAGGCCTGGGGTCCCAGTGCACTGGAAACTAGGTATGAAAACCTTAGCCAGCATTGCAGAGCCCATCCTTCTGTGGTCGCCAGTTGAAACTAGTGCAGATCAAAAAGTCGTGCACCGCCGGGACTCGAACCCGCGACCTTTCGCTTACCGGCCAACTGTTTACCAATCAGCTAAACCTATCCCAAATCCCGGTCACTCTGTCACACTACACCACAACGCACTTGACAGAGTTAACTCACACTGACAGAGTAAACAAGAGTTAACTCCCCCTTACTCCAGATGGGGTTAACTCTTGTTATTTTAAAAATCTTTTTAGTTGAGTAAAGAAATCGGAATTTTGATGGACGATTTGAGGGAAAAGGAGAAGGCGCTGAATGATTCGAGATCACAAGTGAAGCAGAGCTTGGAGACATTGAAAGCAGCGGAGGAGAAAGCGAGGAAATTGGTGGGTGCAAAGAAACGAGTGCATATTGGGATAATAGTCAACATAGGATTAAATATATTTATTCACACAAATAATGTTGTACAAACAAGCACAACCCCTAACTAGTAAGCCCTAAATGTAGGGAAGAAAAAAGTCATATACATGCAGAAAAAAGAACCAATAAACTAGCCAATGAGATTGAAGCTAGCCAATGAGATTGAAGCCTAAGCCTAAGCCTAAGATACCTCCTAGCCCGGCTCCTAGCCAGTCGGCCATGACGGCAGTCGGTGATTGTTCTGATACATTCGATATAAAGATCAGGTTAAGAATTGTCCTTGATTTAGTCTATAGCGAATAAAAATTTCTGGAATTACAGGAAGAAGAACTTTCTCAAATGGAGTCTGATCGTTTCTCTATACAGCAAAACGAAAGCGAACACGTGCGACAAAATGAGCAACTTCAGAAACAGTTGATGGAAAATGGAGAAAAGAATTTAAAGCTAGCAAATGAGTTGATCGGGTTGAAAGAGGAGAGTGAAAGGAAACAGGAAGCGATCGCAGAGATGACCACGGAGAGCACGAAAAATCGAGAACAACTCAAGAATGCATTGGATAAAGTTCAGCTACTTGTAAGTGCAGTGAAAGACGTAGAAAAGAATACAAGTAATTTTAGGAAGACTCTCTAATGCAAACGCAGAAAGATTGCTCGTCATCAAAGGATATTGAAATGGAGTTGATTCGTCGTAATGATGAGCTACAAAAGGAATTCTCAATGTACAAAGAAAAAGCGGCTAAGGTTGGTAATAAAACAATTATTGCTATTGATTATTAGTCTTATCAAAGTTTAGATTTTCTTTTTAGTATTTCTTTCAGCTTTCCGAGGAGATACGCGAGAAAAGCGATTACTTGACGAGTTATGAAGCAGAAGTCGAAGAGATCAGAAAACATTCAGCGAATAAGGTATAGTAAATTCTTTTTGTCAATTGTGATTTCATTTTTAGGTTGCTTTACTTGAAGAGCAAATTGAGGAGAATCTGGCAATGAATGATGAGTTGACACTCGTCACGAAAGAACTCACCGAAAGAAATGAGAAGTTGCAGAAAGAGAAATCCGGGATTGAGGTGGATTATTGAACTTTAGAAATGATAATAATGATTTAGAAATGATGATTAATGATAAAATTTAGACAAAACTTTCTCTGGAACTTCAAACCGTTGAAGAGCTTATGGCAAAAGTCGATCAAAATGAGCAAAATCTCTCAACGACAAGAGACGAATTACAAAAGAGGACAAAAAGTGAGGCATCGTTGAAGCAACAATTGGAATCGGTGAGAAAATTGTTGAAAGGAAAATGCTTATCAAATGTTTTGCAGTTACAATCGATTTACGAGCAATTGAATGGGCAATTGATTCAAGAGCGAAACGACTACACAAAGACGTTGAGCACAAAGCAAGAAGAAATTGTAAGTGAGAGATGAATTTTTGAAATTTGCATAACATTTTTTAATGGTTTAATTTACATTTTTGCTTCTTTAGTTAACAATTTTAGATCACTCTTCAACACCAATTGGATGAAGTGCAAGAGAACTTGTTGAAGCAATACGATAAAGCTGGAGAAGAGGCTACGGTAGTTAGATTTGAGATTAAATAGAAAAATATATAAAAAATGATTTAGTTAATTTATCTAATCAAATTTCTTTTAGATATGTCATCGAAAGATCGAAAGTCTTCAATCCGAGATTGGATTGAAAGAGTCGCAAATCGTTGAAGTGAAGGGAAAGCTGAATGATGCGAATTCGAAAAATGAAGGTATTCAGTTATTGCTTAACTTACTTTATTGCTTTATTGCTTTATTGCTTAACTTGCTTAACTTGCTTAACTTACTTTATTGCTTAACTTACTTTATTGCTTTATTGCTTTATTGCTTAACTTACTTTACTTTTAGAGTTGAATAAACTGATCAACTCGTGGGAAGATGAGAAGAAAGCGCTCATTGAAAGGTTTGTACATTCTGAATATTCTTTAAATATAAAAATATATATCTAAATCTTTACTTTAAATCTTTTTAGATGCTTAAATACGGAATCCGATTTGGATTTTGAACGAGAGCGGGCAACTGAGAATAAGAAACGATTCGATGATGCGTTGAGCGCAATGCACGAGTTGGGAAGAGCCAATCAATCATTACAAGTAACGAATAAATCATATCAAACAGAATAGAGGATGAATTTATTCTAAATTATTCTAATTTCTTCTAATTTTTTCTAATTTCTTCTAAATTATTCTAATTTATTCTAATTTATTCTAAAATTTAGTGTTATTTATCTTTTATAAATCTTTTAGATGGATATGTCGAAGCAAAGCTCACGGAAATGGCTAGACGATAGTGAGGCGGTGAATTGCACGGCTTGTGGGAAAGTCTTCTCATTAACTGTTAGAAAGCATCATTGTCGGTGAGTAAATTGTAAAATTCTAGAATTTCTAGAAAATCTCAAGTTAAACGCAAATTGAATATGTTCTGTTTAGTGTTTGCGGTTTAATCTTTTGCTCAACATGCTCAAGTCACGCAGTAAAGTTGGCAAGTCACAAGAGTCCGGTGCGCTCGTGTGAGCCATGTTTCCAAGAGGTAAATGATTTAAATTAACTATAAGATTCATCACTTTGAATAAAATAGTATTTTCAAAATGATTTACATAATCATTTTGATTTGCTTTATGATTGCTCTTCAATTTTCAAAGCTTTTTTGTCACTTACCGTAAATACGTAAATACCGTAAATACCGTAAATACCGTAAATACCGTAAATACGGTAAATATACGTAAATACGGTAAATACGTAAATACGGTAAATACGTAAATACCGTAAATACGTAAATACCGTAAATACTGTAATAGTACCCCACCGCCCTCGTACAGTCGCGTAGTCGCAAAAGTTTTTTAGTATTTTTTTCAAAGCGCCCGTACTTTCAAAAAATGTGTCTTTGGTATCAAAAAATAGCCCTGAATTTCAGCTATTTTTTGATACCCAAGTGAGCATTGTAGCTTAAACCAGTGTCGAAAAAAACTCGTTCATAGCTAGCTAGACTACGCAACACTCCGCACCGTCATTACGGGGATGGGGTACTACTACAGTATTTACGGTAGGCTCAGCTCAGCTTTTTCAAACTTTTCATAAAGAAATCATAAAGTTTAAAGGTTTAAAAAGCTGAGTTAAGATTTAGAAATTGACACAATTTAAGAAATAATTAGTTGAGAAATTCCTAAATTTTATTTGATCACAAGCTTGGTCAAATTTGGTCAAAACACAAATTCACAAAAAACAAATTTCAGAGTTCGACTCGATAAACGTCTCTGTTGACTGAATATTGCCACAAATTTCACTTTAACAATGAAATGTGATTGAATTTTTTCTCTTTCTCAATAACTCAATAGCTTTTACCTCTAAATGACATTGATCTTTTGAAATCAGTTATCTCTTTGTAAAAAGCCACCAATCAATCAATCAATTCGATTCCCCGCATTTCTAACCAGAAGTCAACCAGAAGTCAACTAGAAGTCAACTAGAAGTCAACTAGAAGTCAACTCCTTTAAATTAACCCAAAGAATTTAATTTATTTTCGAAAACTTGCCTAAAATCATTGATACTTGAAAGATTTTGTTTACCTGTGATCGCTTTTTTTTTTTAAAAAGCATAATTTATATGTGACTCTCTTATTCTCTTCTATAGGTGCCAAAGTTTTTTGTTACGGTTAATGTAATAAATAAAATATACTTAATATCTTCTATACATTAGATAATAATAATAATGATAAATATTGTCTAGTGTAGAGTGTTTTCCTCGCGAGTAAGTTAGTGACTCGAATCAAATTTACATGAGTAATCTTTACTCGATTAATCAGCGTTTTTGGTCGAAGAAACTACGAGTAATCCTCTTTACACGTCGAGTAAATTGAATATCTTTACATTTGAAGGGAATTTGCCACCAAATCAGTTAAACGGCTGAGTATCTTTAAAAGGGGTCATTTAGAACGCGCCAATTTTTTAGATTAGAGAACTCTCTTAGAAGTATTATTAAAATTGAAATTTAGGGGGTGGCGTATGGTTTTGCACCGGGTGAATTTTCGTTTTTTTGGCTGTTGCATTTTCCCTATTCATGCCATGTCGATGATTTTTGGGGTTTAAGGGTTATTTTTGGTCCTGAATCTAACCACGTTTTCAATTTTTTTTGTCACTAGCACGGGAGCCGCAGAAAATTGAAATTTAAGGGGTGGCGTATGGTTTTGCACGGCACTGTAGAGTGTTTTCCACGCGAAGCTACTGTGAAGCTATAAATATGCCGCGGCCTGTAAATACTCGTAACTAGAGTATGTTCCTTGCGAGTAAGTAATTACTCGAATCAAATTCACATGAGTAATCTTTACTCGTTTAATCAGCGTTTTTGGTCGAAGAAACTACGAGCAATCCTCTTTACACGTCGAGTAAATTGAATATCTTTATATTTGAAGGGAATTTGCCACCAAATCAGTCGAACGGTTGAATATCTTTAAAAGGAGTCGTATATAAGGCGGCGCTCGTGATTTTCCCGCCAATTTTTTTGCAATACTTCTCGCTAAAAGTACGGTAATTTTTCTTAAGCGCGCGCTTTAAAAAAGGCATTACTCGCGAGGAAAACACTATACACAATAGAAAATGAATCGAAAGTTTGCTGAGGTTTTAGTTTTAGCTGAAGTTTTAGCTCAACCTACTGACTAGAGAACTCTCTTAGAACTATTATTAAACTTGTCGCGTTTCACCGTTTCACCAATTTATCGATTCTATCGGAAATCTGACGAAAATCTTTTTGTTCGGTTCTATCGGAATTGCAAAAGTGGTGGCATTTTCTAAAACTAAAACCTCAGCAAACTTTCGATTCATTTTTTATTGTGTATAGAGTGTTTTCCTCTTCACTCATTAATGAAACTTCAAAACTTCGATCAATCTTCGCACCTTGCATTTTTTTCTTGATGAAATTGTTTTTTAAGGCACTTGTACGGGTACAAATTGCAAAAAAAAAGTGATAAAAGAACTCTCGAGCACAGTCGAGCATGTGAGCTAAATTGAAGAATGAGTGAGCGTCGTTCCCGAAAAAGTGCTCAGGAATGGCGCCGGAACGGTGTCAAGTCAAGGTCATTTGAAATGACCGCTTGAAGAAAATAAATGGAATGACCACAAAAGCAAATTCGGAAGAATTGTGCTCATCCATTTGTGTCACTAATTTGTTCTTTTTTTAGAGGCAATCTAGTCTTTTTGGAAGAAAGTCGGTCAGTTGTTTGCATCTAAAAGTAAAACTTTTTGCTTTTCTCATTCTTATCAATAAATGGGCTTTTAATTAAACGATAACTAAGTTAAAGTTGCTAAATTTCTTGATAAACTTGTTTAAAACTAGTTACCGTAGATACTGTAATAGTACCCCACCGCCCTCGTACAGTCGCGTAGTCGCAAAAGTTTTTCAGTATTTCATTTTTTTCAAAGCGCCCGTACTTTCAAAAAATGCGTCTTTGATATCAAAAAATAGCTGAAATTCAGGGCTATTTTTTGATGCCTAAGCGCGCATTGTAGCATAAACCAGTGTCGATAAAAACTCGTCCAAAGCTAGACTACGAAACACTCCGCACCGTGATTATGGGGGTGGGGTACCATTACAGTATTTACGGTAGGTAGATTGGCGAAAAGCAAGCCAAAGAGCTTGTGCTTGTAAGCGCATAAAGTAAATACCATAAATACTGTAATAGTACCCCACCGCCCTCGTACAGTCGCGTAGTCGCAAAAGTTTTTCAGTATTTTTTTCAAAGCACCCGTACTTTCAAAAAATCCGTCTTTGGTATCAAAAAATAGCTGAAATTCAGGGCTATTTTTTGATACCTAAGCGAGCATTCTAGCTTAAACCAGTGTCGTGGAAAACTCGTTCAAAGCTAGACTACGCAACACTCCGCACCGTCATTACGGGGGTGGGGTACTATTACAGTATTTACGGTACCAGTCAGAATTGAAATTAGAAGAAAGCAAAACCGGCAATTTGGTGACTAAAAACGAGCTAATGCTTGAGCTTTGAGATTTGAAAAAAAAAGAGAACTAGTCCCATTCCTCTTCAAAGCAAATGCAACCTTAATTTCAAAAGAATGCTGCAACAGTATGTATTTGAAATGGAAAATCTATCCATTAGCTGCATTATTTCCTCTTTTTTCTCTTTATGGGAAACAATGACATTGAAGGAGGATTTCCCCAGGGGTGCGGTTCTTTTTCTCCTTTTCCAAAATCTTCAATTCAAGGTAATCTCTTCTCCATCAGACTTTCAATTTATCATAACTTCCGGCGATCTTGAAACTTTTCAACATAAATAATTGGCTCACGGCTCGGGTGATCGTTTTTCCGTTTTCCAGAAAGGTGCAAAGTTTTTTGCAAAAATCGCGTCAAACTACTGTAACTGGCAATGAGATTTGGCTGTCATTTTTCAATTTGAACACTTTTAATGTTACGCCCAAGTGTTGATGTTACTTTTTGTTCGATGTTCTATGCGGCTCATTTCGAGCAAGATCGGGAGCTGTATGAAATTGTATTTGAAGGGGAATCGAGCAATTCTATCATCAATTATCAATTTTCATCAATCAGTTTCTCTTTTTTTGTGTGTTTGTAGCAAGAATACGGCCAAATTAAGGCAATTTAAGGCAAAAATTTGAGGAATCGATTAGGGCTATTCATTTTGTTGAGTCCACCAATGAGAATTTGAACTTAATTGCTCTAAACTTTGAGATAAATTCGAAAACTTATTAGCTATTTTCGATTTCAAATAAGATAGTTTAGCCGGAAGGAAGCCTTTTTTAGCCTTTTTTAGCCTTTTTACTTACCTACAATAATCCAGATGAGAAAAATTCGAAATAAAATCCAAAATCCAAAACAGTTACCAAGTTTTAAACAGTTTTACTTACCTACAATAATCCAGATGATAAACTCGAAGCAAATCCAAAATCCAAAAAAGTTTCCTTTCTCAACGTCCCCCCCGATCTTACCCTGTTTTCCGTGCCAAGTCACGAAATTCCGACAACAAAAAAATGGGGAAATCCGAGTGGAACGTTCATCTTTTAAATGACTCAGAATTGGGGAATTTTGACAATGAATGGAATGATAATGAATAACTTTTCCTCAAATTTATTTGTTGAGCAAGATTGAGAGAGATTTTATCAAATTTTTTATTGTTAAAAATGAGAATCAAGATCGGGAACTGGATGAAATTGTATTTGAAGGGGGGATCGAGCAATTCTATCATCAATTATCAATTGTTATTGTCAAAAAGTGACTCTTAAGATCGATTCGTATTCGTAGCTCGCATTGTGATGGAAGTTTGGTTCTGAACTTTTGCTTGCATAGCTTCTAGATTTCATTTTGTCACTTCTGGTTTTAGTCAGAGCTTTTCCTATTTAGAAATGTAAACTTGGTTTGGCTTTTGGATTTTACTGACTTTGAGGATCTAGCAAATGCAAACACAATCTGCCTGGCACACTACCACTTTCTGTTTCTTTCATTTCTGCTGTTGGAAATGGAAATCCAGTTTTTTCTACACTAAATACAGCAAAAAAAAGCTAATTTTCTTAATAAACTATTTAAAAGCTTTAATTTATTAGATTTTTAATAAAAAAATCTCATATCTTTTTCATTGAACAACATTAAATTTGAATTTAAATGTCTCAAAATTTTCTCTAACAAACTCTCTAACAAACTCTCTAACAAACTCTCTAACAAACTCTCTAACAAACTCTCTAACAAACTCTAACGAACTCTCTAACAAACTCTCTAACAAACTCTCTAACAAACTCTCTAACAAACTCTCTAACAAACTCTAACGAACTCTCTAACAAACTCTCTAACAAACTCTCTAACAAACTCATCCAGGTCAAGACCACTAGAAATCTTAAAATCTCTCATTTATAACAAAAAAAAAGTCAGTCGAGATTTTCAGCGTTCTAATGTAGTTAAGTGGGATAACGATTTTCACAGTCCAACGAACTCTTAACTGGTTGATCTAGGTCAAAAGAGACGCGTTATCAACTCAAAAAAAAAGTGTCACAGATTTTTTTCTTTTTTTAGCAATATTGAGACAATAAAATTGAAGAGATTTCATCGGGAAGTTTCTTTTTTTGAAAAGAAAAGAAAGAAATGAAACGATTTGGAGAGAAAAATCCCAGGATTTGACCTTAGCCTTACCCATTGAATGAATCCATCAATCTCACGGTCATTTAATCTTCATTTTTATGGCATAAACTCTGATTTTTTTTTTGTTTTTCCAAAAAGAATTCTTATGAATATGTTGAATTTGTTGAATTTCTTTTTGAGTTGATACGTTTATGAATACTTTAAACAATTGAAATCTATTTGAAAATTAAAATAAATCTTCAGATATTCGAAATGAAATTTCTCTTTTTCTTTACATTCATCTCGATCGTTTTTGGTTGTAAATTTGAGGGTTTACAACGTGGAAACGAGGAAACTTGGGTGAGTTTTATTGAGTTGAAAATTCATTTTACATTCTTATGAACACAAAAGCTATCTCTGGTAATTGCTGCCATGACCGACTGACTAAAGAGCCATGGATCTTACTAGGGAGAGACTAACTAGGGAAAGGCACCAACTTAAGGTCGAGTTTAAGCCTATTGAATCGTACCCTGATAGAGTTTGAAACGGGAATCCGAATCCGTTTTTTTTGGCTTCCCCTGTGAACCTCTCAATCACCAGATATTTAGCATCAAAGTTTTTGCATTGGAATTTAGAGCGCTCTCTAGCGAAGGGAAAGCACTCAAACAGTGGTGTCGAGGTAAAGCGACGGATTTGTGGTCAAACGATCATGGCTCCGATCCGGCTTGCCGAGTTTTTTTTTTGCTTTTTTCTGTACACAGTATATAACCTTGTATTTTTTAAAATTATGGGACGATTTGGAAACTTGGGAAGCAAAAAAATCCAATAAATTTGGGGAAACCCTCTGAGAATGTTGTCTCTTTTAAAAATCGGGAAGTCTAAATCGTTGAGCATAACATAATTGAATCCCAAATCCTAAACTCGACCTTAAGTTGGTGCCTCTCTCTAGTTATTAAGGCTTCAATCCGGGCTAGATTATTTGTTTGAAAGACTGAAAAGCGATAGAAATCCTACGAGTGTACTTTGAGCCATGAAAACGCTTTCTTTCTTTCTTTCTTAATTTCTTTTAAAAGAGATTACGAATGTGTTAGAGAGTGTTCGTTTTAGACAAAAGAGCACAAAGTACGTTTAGTTCTTAAGAAATTGCTCTAATAGATGAAAACTATTACTTTCAGGTAGTTCGAAAGAGTTTCGTGATGAAATGCTTTATCAACAAGGACTCATCTTGGAGAACAGAGGTGATTGGATGTCAGAGTCCGTTGGGAGTCGAGATCCCACCAGAGGGATTCGTCAAAGAGAACGGAATGGTGAGATTTCGCTAAAAAACAAACATTGCTTTTGTTAAAGATAAAAACAAGTAGAACCTCAAGATCAAGATGATCAAGATGATAATTTTTGCAGAAATACTCGTGTCTTCGCGGGGTAAACGGTCATTTATCGTATCATAGTGAGATGGATCCGATCACTTTTTGCGATGGTCATCAATTGGGTTTGAAATATTGTCAAGTCTATTTTTTAAAGTGATTTAGGCGACACGTGGATTGTGAATAAAAACTTTAATCGTTCTTGCACGACGAAAGGTTCATTTATCTTGAATTGTATGACGGATTCGGGAACGAGAATCGAATTGAACGGACAATTAACAGAGCAGGGGACAGTCTACAAGTGAGTTTATCCAGCTATAGAAAGCTATTCAAATTGGGTACTTTTTATAGAAATGGACACTATAAACTAGAAAAATGATGACCTGTCACGCTACAAACGATTCTAACTTTCTTTAAATCTAGCGGATTTACATGATCTATAGCTCAAAAAAATAGAGGAATTTCAAGAGCTTTTGAATGGATTAAAGCAAACCGAAAAATATCAATTCTAAAGAAAGTGACAGTGGTTTGTAGCCTGATTTGAAATAGACCCTACTCACGCGTAGTCGAAGCTACAAACCACTGTCACTTTCTTTAGAATTGATATTTTTCGGTCTGCTTTAGTTCATTCAAAAGCCCTTGAGATTCCCTATGTCTTAAGCTATACGTCATGTCAATTCGACAGATTTAAAGCAAGTTGGAAGTGCTTGTAGTACTCTACTGTTTCAGATGTACTCAAGATGCGACGGGAGCCATCTTCTTGCATCGAGCTCCATCCTCGAACGCTCCCAAACACCACCCATTTAAAGCTTTCCTCTTCAAAGAGACTTCCATGCAACCAACAACCACAACAATGCCTGCTTCAACGACTGAAGTGACAACAACTGAAGTGACAACAACTGTTGTGGCAACTGATCCCGAGTTAACCACTTTTGATCCATCTGATCCGGCTGAGGTATTGTATTTTAAATGATATGCATTCTCAAACATTTTCACTTTAGGCCATCTTCACTCAAGCTCCAGCCACCGAAGCTGAGACAACTCCAATGGCCGATGAACAACCAACTCTCTTTCCACAAGTGACACAAATCCATCCCACTGAGCCAGGACCAGCTCCACCCGTTTCTTTACCCGTTTTCGATTCGAATGATCTCTCTTCAATGCCTCATCCACCATCGATTCGACCCAACAAACCGGAGGATGAAGGGCCAGCTGCTCCACCAGCCAGTCCACAAGAAGTAGGATCCAATTGAAACAAAGGGAATGACTCACAGTACTAGATACTCGACCGTAATTACTAGACTACTAGGCACTAGACTGTAATTACTAGACTACTAGATACTAGACTGTAATTACTAGACTGCTAGATACTAGACTGTAATTACAGTACTAGACTATGGTGTACTGTAATTCGTACTCACTATTGGCAAATTCGAAACAATTCTTACAATTGAAATTTCAGTTGCTCGTTTCCCCGGCGGAAATTCTTCATGAGCAAGCGTTTTCAACGGAAACCGTTCAGCCTGTGACAAGTCAACCAATTCATGTAAATATTTTTGAAATCATCAAAAAAGTTCATCAAAGTTTAGTAAGCTTTTTAGATAGTCCATCCTCCATCAATTAAGCCACCCCGTGGTTTTATGAGGCTACATAACAATGATGTTCAATGTGCCGAAGACGGAGTTGTGAGAGAAGCCGAAGAAACGTGAGGGTTGAACAAAAAAATCGTTTATAAACTGTAAACCTGTTCTAAAAGGGTTTAAATCTGAAAAATCAAGCATTTAGTTGGATTGCGGACGAGAAATTCCGAAAGGAGTGTACTTCGCAGGGTGCGATAATCGTTTTGGAGTGTTTAATCGACGAGGACACGACAATGCCTGTGAACAGCGATTTGAGAATCGGTGATAGAGTGAGTTTAATAGCTGAAGAACATTCTTATTTGTTTTATTGAAAGTACTACGTTCATTTGCATACCAAATCATAGTTGAACTAGGAAGATAGCTTTATTTTTAAGTACTTTTAATTGAACAAGAGTAGATTTGATCTGTTGCAATTATTCCGACCAGATTTACATATTGGGTTCGTAAATTGAAAATTGCCGGCTATTTCGCGGGACTCGCAGATAAAAAAAAGAGCGCCACCGGATGGATAAAGAACACGATAGCGTTTCGCAAAGTCCTCGTAGATCCATCTAGAGAACAATCAGTAGATAATTCATAAAAATATCTCTAGTTTTTGAAGTTTAAAAAAATTTTAACCTGCTTGGGTAGCCATCGGCCGAGATGCCGTCTCGAGTACACCGCAAGCGCGTAGCTGTTGGATGGCTCGTTTCGGCTCGAAAAAGAACTCTTTCTAAAAATGCACATTATGATACAAATTGGACATTGCTATTGCATTATATTTCAAGTATTTGCTGAAAAAAAAACCCTTTTCATCGTTTGGTTTTATGCAGCGAACGTAGTGTGGAGCGAGTTGCTTGCAGTACGGTCATCAACTCGCGTTAATTTACCCGATAATTTACCCCGATTTGTGGTTCGAAAGAAAAGCGAACGGATTTTTCTTTTCAGTAATTTTCCAATAGGTTAGCGAATGAATAAATTTATAATATAGAGAAAATTATACGGTTAAGTTGCAAAGTTAACTTTTAACTTTGCTCTTAAAGTTAACGAAGGAGTCTTGTCGGGGTAATTTTGCTCAGCCTTGTTCACCCAATAAACTTTGTTCACCAAATAATTGACTAATATTCACGGTACTTGTTTTATTTAGATTCACCGATGCTGGCGACAAAATCAACAAGTCTTTTATGAAGTGAAAGACGCAAGACAAAGATTTTAAACAAAATTTTTGTCGAAATTTTAATATAGCTTTTTGTTTTAAGAGCTGTTTTAAGAGCTGTTTTAAGAGCTGTTTTTTCCAATGCTTTTAATGATTTCAATTCAAATAATCTTTTTACAGTGTTTTCTTGAAAACGAGTAAACTTTCTGTAAAATAAACTAAACTAAACAAAACTTTATGCACTAAAATTTTTGATTCAAACAAACATTAAGGTATTGAAGGTATTGAAGGTATTGAAGGTATTGAAGATCTTTTCTTATGCAGATTAGAAGTCTAGAAGTCTAAAGGTTTAAAAACATGGCTAAATATCTTTTAATCATCTTAAAAAGAGAACATTTCTGCTATTTGGAGACAATGACAATGAAAAATCTTCTCTCAAAAAATTTTATCTAATGGAGATTTCGAAAAAGAAAGTGAAAGCATTTGAACAACTTGGTAAGCAGTAAAACTTTAAAAGAAGAAAAGAAAAGGAAAGGGGAAATCGAAGGGAAAAAAAGTGAATTGAACAGTGGGTGTCGGAAAAGAGACAAAGAAGATTTCCCCGATTTCCCCAATTTCCCCAAAGAAAAGAAAAGAGGCAACAACAATTCGGGGCGGAAAAACTCGAGAAATTTGACAAGAGTTTCGAGTATAAAAGGTTGAGCTTTGTGGAGAAACAGTATTATTTGGTCCCCTCCAACTCAAGCAACTCAAAAAGAAAAGATGGGTTTTGAGCGTGGAGCCCTTTGGGTGGCCATCACCGCGTCCACCGTCACCCTTGTTGGTAAGTCGCTTTAATCCTCTTGAATACCTCTTTACTTGTTACGATCTTTCTTATCTTGTCTACAGTAATCTAGTTAGTGTCGTTAGTAATCTAGTTACCCAATAAAAGTCTTTATGACGTACTTACTTACTAGGAAACACCCTGAAACCTATCCAACTACTTTCTACAGTACTACAGTATCTTTTCTTGAAAACTAGCCAGTAAGAGTACTGTACAATAACTATATTATTATAATGTATCGTAGAAATGCTCAAATTCTTTTCAGGATGTCTTGCTTTTGCTGGTTACATGTTCAATGACATCAATGACTGGAAGGCTACCAGTGAGAGTGATCTCAGGGAATTCAAGGTGCTTAGCAATTTTCCTAATTTCTTATAACCAAATATTATAACCAATCTTTTCAGCTAGCGGCTAACGAGGCTTGGAGTGAGATGTACGGTGCTGTGCCTGTTGGTGAAACTGTCAAGAAGCCCTCGCATCACAGTCTTTTCGGAGTTCGTAGGGAGAAGCGTCAAGCTGGCTGCAATTGTGGACCAAAACCTAGCCATTGCCCTCGCGGACCCCCAGGCCCACCCGGGCAAGCTGGACACCCTGGTGATTTATAGGAGACTTTCGTTAAACCTTTATTCTAGGTGAGGATGGACACCCCGGACAAAGCGGTCAGCCTGGACAAGCTGGACATGGCCAACAAAGCACCGGTGGTGGCGGTTGCCAGACTTGCCCCGCTGGACCACCTGGACCCCGTGGACGCCCTGGACCCGCTGGACCTGGAGGCCCTGATGGACACCCTGGACAACCTGGAAGCCGCTCTTATGGAGGACCACGGCCTGGACCCCCTGGCCCACCTGGAGATGCTGGAAGACCTGGACAACCTGGACATCCTGGAGGACCTGGGCAAGCTGGTCAACCCGGAAAACGATATGTCTCGCAGCCTGGACACCCTGGACCCCGTGGACCACCTGGACCATCTGGAGGACCGGGACAACCTGGACGTGCTCAGCCTGGACAACGTGGACCCCCAGGACCTGCTGGACAAGCTGGACACCCAGGACAACCCGGTGGAGACGGACAGCCAGGAGGCCCCGGCAGCGACGGACAACCCGGCAAGGATGCCGCCTACTGTCCATGGTTTGTTTAGATTACTTAACTCAGCAAAAAATCTTTTTTAGCCCACCCCGCTCCGGTCAGGTTCAAAGCCCACCACCCACATCGTCCGGCTACCGTCGAAATCGTAAAGTCGTCAAGAAGGTGCGCAAAGTGCTCCGTCACCGTGCCCGTGCCCGTTTCCACGCTCAATAAGCGACCGAAACAAAAGCGATCGAATATCTGTAAAAATTACAGAATAAACATGATCTCTCAGAGAAAAGAAAGCACCCTAACAAATGCATTTGTAAACAGTTCAACAGTGGCGTAATTTTGCTTGGTTTTAATCTCCACAAGCAGAATAAGGTTTACACACCAACAAGGCTCAGCTTAATTTTAAAATGTTACAAGCGTTGCTTCAAAACTGACAAGAAAAGGTCAACTGGCTGAGCCAAATGCTATGCGACCTATAGCATTCAATGCAGAATTTTATGCTGATTCCAAATATTACCGTTTGTTTCCACAAGCTCTGATATGTCAAAATTTCAATTCGACACCCTCAAATTACCTAGAAAAACAACTTTTGGAATAGAAATTCGTTAATATTAGCTTTTTAGAGCTTTTTTAAAACGCGAAAAAAGGTGCGCTAATGGGCAAGGTGCGGAAAAAAAGGTGCGCAAATGTCCGGGTGCGCAAAAAAAAAGGTCGCATTTGTCCCACTCCCGTGATCAGGCATCAGAAATGTTTAGGATTATTTGTTTTTCATTTAGTCAAAATGCAATTTTTATATGTGCAAACGCAGAATTGCATCTAGTGTTTCTAGAAAAACAAAGAGCTAGTAAAAATTTCAATTTTTAAAGAAGATATTCACCAAAGATTGTTGCGATGAAACTGGTAAATTTTTGCTAGAGCTAGTGAAGTCTGGAGCCGAGCACAGGCTGGGTCTTGAAGCTGGGTCTTGCCTGAACTGACTTTACTAATCCAACGATAAACCAAGCCTTTCTGCAGGCTTGTTTTTCAAAAATTGCTTCCAGCTATGCCTTTCCTGGTCTCTGGATAACCGGAAGCCGGAAATTGCAAAAATTTCAAAACTCTCCAAGTACTTCAATTTTCCCTATAAGCCAAGATTTCAACGAAATCGAATCATAAAATGAAATCAAATTGCTTATTCTCTAAATCTTTATCTAAAGAATTATATGATGTGCCTAACTATGCCCATAGTTTCAGTGATAAGAAGGGGTTTTTGCAGGGTCATAGTTTGAAGCGAGGCACGGGATGGGCTCATCTTCTTTTTTCTAAGTCTGCCAGATTTTTGATGCAGTGTGGCGCCACCAAATTTCTTTGCTCTTATCTTAGCTATAGGCATAGAAAAAACGCGGGGCGAGTCTCATAGTTATGCTTATCTTGTGAATAAAAGGGAGCTGGGATCGTTGTGGGGAATGGAGCACTGCAGGCAGATCATAAATCTTTTTTTAAAGAGACTTAACATTTTTAAGGGTTTTTTTGATGAATTTTGAACTAATTGTCTTTAATTTTCTGTTTCTTTTATATAAAGAAAGCTTTCGTATTTGAGAATAGATAATAGATGCAATAAAACGAAATTTCTCTAAACTTTGTACTAAACTTTCTTCGTGTTCAATTTTGTAAGATGAATTGGATTTTTCAAAAATTCTAATCCAATCATTGGATTGTAATTTTAGAAATGCAAAGATTGTCCACAGTTTGTCTCTTTTCTCTGGCCACTGCCCTGCTTCTAAGCACATCGATTTTGAGTTCTCCAATTGTTCCACTCAACGCTGATGACACTTGTCCATTTCCGAATGGATCTGAGACAAAAATGCACACATTTGAATGTGCCACTGGTAAGCTAAAGCTTGGGTATTTAACTGCTATACTAACTAACTGATATCATCTTGAACTAAAGCTGAATTGAAGCTAATCATTAAAACGCAAAACATTGTACCTTCAGGTATGCAAATCACCGTCTCTGACATCAATGTGACTGATGTGAATGGGAAACCGATGTACCCGATGGACCCAAAGCAAACGATGGTTCTCGACTTGATCTCCTACAATCACGGAGAGCAGGTTTGTCTTGAATTAGTCTTTAAATAAAATCTTCTCTTCTTTCAGATCACTGACAATAAAGTCGACGTCGGCATTTACTCGTACTCGAAATCGTGGGCCACAAACACTTGCAACTGGACGGCTATTCCAACACTCGGATTGCTGTGAGTTTAAAGAAAATCGCTCGGTTACAACCACATTTCAGCAACAACATTGATGGATGCGATTTCGCGAAGAATTGTCCGCTAGCCTCGGGTCCACTTCAGTTGAAAATCCCGCTTGATCTCTCGCAGTTCTCTTCAATCATCAACATGTTGGCCGCAAACGTGAGTTGAACTTGACGGTTGAATTACATGACAAACTAGACTTGGACTTGTAAATTCTAGAAGCAAGTTTAGAGTAGCGTGTTTGAAAGCTGGCATCTTTTAGGAAAGACTTTAGAAGAACATATGCTAATTTGATCTAGGGCTAGCTAGTAAAAGTCAACTAGCATACCGTATTTTTCCTAATAGTGCACCCCGTCGAGCTGATGACGATTTTACAGTTTCCAAGTTTTCCCATAAGTCCAACACTCTAATCCCCCACAAGATCGCATCGTCAGCTACATTTTCCGACCTCCCATCGATAGTTTCTGATAAGCGCTTTTTGAGATTTGGAACAATTTCGGCAAAGCTTTGGGTAGACTACTATTAGAGAGAAGACGGTATATTATTCCAGGTTAGGCTAGTAGATCAGACTGATCTATTTCCCTAATATTTCCCGGTGAGCCGAGTTGATGACGATTTTACAGTTTCCAAGTTTTCCCATAAATCCAACACTCTAATCCCCCACAAGATCTCATCGTCAGCTACATTTTCCGACCACACATCGATAGGTTCTGATAAGCGCTTTTTGAGATTTCGAACAATTTCGGCAAAGCTTACGGTGCTCTACTATTAGAGAAAAGATGGTATTAGTTAGTTAGTATAGCAGTTAAATAGCCAAGTTATTACCGTTATCAGAGTTGCTCGTTTTTCAGCGACCCTATCAACTTAACATCGCGATGAAAAACTACAACGAGGGAAACAAACAACACGAGCAAATCGCTTGCGTCGTCGCACAGATTCATCTCATTTAAATGGAAATTGAGAAAACTTCAGTCCATAATTTATTTTATTCCAAATTGTACATAACTACGTGTATTCTCGTATCTCATCGACTTTAGTCTAAAATTATGAATTGAATAAATCAAATTTTATCTTCAAAAAGTTTAGAATCACATGATAAGGCCAATAAATAATGACTAGATGGAAAAGGAATTAAAAATTGATTGAAAAATGCATCAAGAAGAAAGCTCAATAATTTTAAATTTACAAAAAAGAAATACCGGTATTTGTGGTTGAAGAAAATGAAAAAACAAGCAAAAATTGGAAGTGAAAAAAAGAGAGAGATAGTGGTTATCACAGGTTTAAAAAGTCAAGAAAAAGAAAAAGAAAAAGAAAAAAGCAAAGTCACAACACAAAAAAATTGAATAATACAAATTTGGATAGAAGTTTTGGCTGAGTGATGGGATTTTTATTATGATATTTTTTTTCTGTAAGACTCAAGTACTCAAGTACAAAGCTGAGTTTTCATTGATCACTTTACCAAAACAAATCTATTATGCTTTAAAGAAAGGCTTTAGACTTTAAAGAAAACGGCAAACTTCATGTAAACGAAGGGGTGATGGAAGTGAGAGAGTTTCAAGACGGAAATCACAGGGTACAAATTTATTTGTATCCAATGGAGGTAAATAGGTACCCGGCATGATCAATTTGTTCTGAAAAACGGATTAAATAAAGATTTTGCTAAATTCTTCTTTATACTTTTTGTTTTAGATCTACCTCTTGTAATCTATCGAAACTATCGTAATCTTGTCTTTATTTTATTTGTTAAAAATGATAGAAGAATTACTGTGGCTGACTAGTTTTTGAAAGTTGTCATGTTTTAGAGAAACAGCATTCCTTTAGAGGATTAGGTTTTTTTATCTCAAAACTTTTCTAAATAAAGAAAATCTATTATGCTTTGATAATCTTTGATAATCGTTGATAATAATCTATTTATATTCTCTATTTTCCTGACCGTATCTTGTCCAGTGGCAGCACTTCTTTCCAATAATCTTTTCTCAATTCGATCGAGTAATTCCGGTGAAACGACACTCTCTTCAAACCCTTCTGATGGGGTATAATGTTGAAGAATGCAAAGAATCTAAAAGAATTGATGTTTGTACAATTTTTGAAAGGCATTAATTGATAAATTTTTTCTTGAAATGCTTTCTAAAGATCTTTTAAAGATTAACAAGATTCTAAAGATCTTTTAAAGATTAACAAGATTCTAAAGATTAACAATTTCAAAAGCCAACCTGTTTAGGTAACAAAACGCTAGTCATCTCTCCGCAAAGTGTCTCCACATTAGATTCATCCTTTTTCGATTGAAGTAGATGGGATGCCTAAAAATTCTCTAGCAATAAAATTTCTGAGAGATTTTTACCTGTACTAACGGCTCAAACATTGGCTCTAATCCCTTCATGTTGTGCTTTCCCAACCAATTCTGGATCTCTTGCACGTTATGTCTGAAATGATTGATTGAAGATTACAGCATTCATCTCGACTTTTAAAAGTACTACAACTGTTTATTTCACTCACTTGATCTGAATAGCTCTTTCAGCTCTGCAAAGATCTTTTCTGAACATCATATGATTTAATGACATCGAACAAGTCCATTCAGTCAACCGTCGGAAGATTTGCTCCAACAGCACCTCATCTCCTCCAAAACCAGCCACTTTTTGTTGAATGATCGAGAACTGAAAAGGTAAATGATCATAAGTTATAAATAATATTAAAACAAACATAATCAAGAAGATCATCAAGCGCTTTGGCGTGTCTTCCATCGCATTGTTTCCCCGTTAACATCTCCCACATTGGGGACTCGTGCAAAAGGACACCAGGGACTGGAAGAAGATCATAAATGTCAGAAGAAATATTGAAAAAAATTTTCTACACTTCTAGAAGTAGTAGATTTCAAGCTATTCAAGTAACGCACTTGTCTTTTGCTTCAACAGTGGCTCGATCGTCTTCTTCATCAACGTCTGGTAGCACTCATCGGCTCGAGCGGCAATCTGGAAAGTCAAAAATTGCTCAACCTCGCTCAACTCTTGAGCATTCAGCACGCTTTCTAAGTCAAATATAGAGGCTATTGTTGGTTTCAAAACTGACTGTCACATACTGTACATAGGTCTAGAAATGGTTGCACAATTGAATCAGATTCTTGCACTTGGGATTACAATTTTAGTTTGAATCAAAATCGAAACCTGTTGCCTTAATGGATCCAAGTCCAGATTCTTAATCCTTTGCCCGTTTTGTGTTTCGGTGTTTGCCGCTTGCCACTCGACATTGTCAATCTCGCCATACTGTCGAAGGAGATGATAGAGTCGCCATGTGTTGACAAGCCACAGCGAAAGGATGTCCATGTCTTGAGTGTGCTGAAAAAAAATAGACATTCTAAAAGGATTCTCACATGTTTAGCTTTGAACGAGAGGTTCAAAGCTATCTATAAAGCGCGTTTCTTATTTCATTTCAATCTTTCCCACTTACCGAGATCGTATCTTTCAGCACGACATGAATCGCCGAGAAGAGTGGCGTCAACCCGGTTTCATCTTGTTGCTCATCGTAGTATCTAGAAATGAAATTTGATTTGTTTAGAACTGGATTTGATGAGAAAAAATTCTCTTGGCTTAAATTTCAAACCTGAATGATGTAAGTAAGAGATACGCAGGGAAACACGGAGTTAGATGTTTAGCCAAACGAGGTTTCAAATCTGAAAGATAATCTTTCAGTTCTTTAACAACTTCTAGGCAACTATCATAATTTATTGATAGTTCTATTAGATAGATAGATAGATACAATTTACGATAGAAAACATCATACCTGATATCAAAATCTTCGAGAACTCAGGCACATTGTAGACGTGTAGCCGAGCTGAGTGGATCTGAAAGAGAGTTAGATTACGAAATGAAAAAGAATTGGTTTACCTCAGAATTTCTCCTTCCACCAATCGCCTCCACGCGCACAATCTCACTGTCCGAGGCGGTACCGGCTTCTAAAAATGAATATAAATGATAGTTAAGTAGATAGATATTTTAACATTTAAGAATAAGTTCCAAGAATAGCTGACTCACCACAGTCACCGGCATATCCTCGCAATTGAGCGCGAATCTCCGAGAGTTCGTCAGCTTGCCGATTGAATTTATCCGTTAAATCGAGATTCTCGGAGACGAGTTCACCCATTTGCGAGCGTAAAGCATCCACGGAGCCATCAGGGTGTTTCTGAAATCAAAATCTTATTTGTTTAAGTCCTGTGACAAGCTAGATGGTTTCAAGTTCTCATTCACTCAACACTTCCTTTACCCCATTCATTTGCGCATGACTATTCTGATGATCGCTCGCAATATCCTCATCTTCTACTTGAAAGCTCAATTGATAATAATCGGATAGTGGTCGTTGCTGTCCCATTGTATCCACCATATCCTGATTGATCGCTTCACAATAAAAAGCGTCGAGGTCCGAATAGGCTTCAAAACCATTTTCCGTTAGATTGTTTTTGAGCATAAGATTAGTAGAATGAATCAATATGAATGAATGAATGAATCAATCAATCAATATAAATCTATGAATCAATCAATCAATATCAATATGGAATCAATATCAATATCAACTTTCAAATGAATCAATATAGCAAAAACGGCTCTTTTGTTTCAAATATGATGAAAATTTCGAAATGTGAGCTTATAGAAAAAACGGGGAAAGAGGGAAATGAGAGAAAAGTCAAAGAGATGGGTGGCTTGTTTGTCTTTCGAAAATGGGCCGAGCGGCGGAGGAGTGGGATATTGAAGGGTGGATGGCCAGTATTCGAATGCCAAAGAAGGGAAATGGAAAGAAGCAGACTATGAAGCTATGCTGTTCACTATCAAAAAATGAAATGTGGTATGCTTTCGTTTTGTTCTCTTTCAATAATCAAAGATAAACAAAAAGGTAAAAGCTAACGCTCAACTTTTACCTTTAGTTCAATCCAATTCAACTCTCAAAATTTAGCACTGGTGTCAAAGACTGAAAAAAGGTACCTTTGATTTTAAGTTCTAAGCTGGCTAAAGAGACAACAATAAAGCTGTGGGGGAAATCTTGGATTTCTTGAAGAAAACAGACGTATATGGCATGATCTTAAGCTGTGAAGGGCAATGCATTCCTCTTCAGCTCTCCCCTCCGTCATCCATTCCAATGCTGTCCTTTATTCTTTTCTTTTCTCCCGAGATGAGCCCCGAATGGATGCAATGGGTATAAAAAGAGAGAAAGAAGGGGGAAGAATAAATGACAAATGGGTGAAAGGGATCTCTGGGGATCAATTTGAACGAAGAAATTTTGGGAAGGAATTTGCTGTCAATAGCTAATATTTCGATGGCTGGCTGGCTGCTCTTTTGTATTAAAAGTTTCGTTAGAAAACTAAACTTAGAAAGCTTCATAAGTGGACTTAAAAGAGGTCGAAAGAGGCGTTTGAAAAGTGTTCAAAGATTTAGAAAATCTTCAGAAGTAAAGAGAAAGAGGAATAATTCAAATCTTAAAATTTATGAATAACATTCTAGTAATAATATTTGTGGTGTTCATCAACTTTATGGATGGGTAAATCCGAGCGAATGGTGAAAATATGAAAAGCGGTGACTATGGCAACGAAAAAGGGAGAAGATGAGGGGACAGAGACAGAAGAATCACCACCTTTTTCGCAAAGTATTCAACTATAGAAATTCTAAACTAAAACTTTTCACTAGTTTGTAATCGATATTGTTTACCGAGTCGTGTCAGTGCTTGTGGATAATTTACCTAGAAGCTTTTCGTAATTCCCCTTGGCTGAAAGAGAACTAAAAGAAAATACAGGGTAAATAGAACTGGGAAATGAATAGGGAAATGAAAAATGGGTGAAATTTTTGTAATTCAAACTTGATTCAAAAGATTTGTGCTTAAAGAAAGTCATAAAGAAAAGGATTACTGAAAAAAGCAGACTGAAAAACTCTGATTTCCAAAAGCAGACTGAAAAACTCTGATTTCCAAAAGCAGACTTATAAGTCTGGTGGTTATAAGTCTGCTTTTGAAAATCATAGTTTTTCAAAAAAAAAAACTTTTACATTGAAAACTAGCTCGGAAATGCGTTTGAGCAAATAATTTCTCTGAAGAGGGAAATCGATTTAAAAACAACAACTCATCCGGTCATTTCCCATTTTCTGAGGCTAGTCAGCTCATGAAAATACTATAAAAAGAGGAGGGAAAGATGAAAGAGAAAAAAAATTGGCGATAACACCTGAAATAGATGAGTCAGAGAAAGGAAAAAAAAAAGTCAATCCTGTAAAAAGTTCAACACCCACTTGTGGTTGGAATTTGCAGCTTGCAAAACTTTTCGAGTAAGTTAAAGAAAAGCAATACTTTTTGCTATTCGTTGCGTTATTTGAAAAAAAGAAATACGACTGGTATGATTGATTTAAAATCTTTAGACTTTTATTCAAAACTTCTAGATGTTAGTGTGCCAAATGCTCGACGTTTTCATCATATTATTAGCTTTTTCTTCACAAAATTTAGGATAAAAGAATGGGAAAAAATGAAGAGTTTGATAAGAGATAAGATTTTTCACTTGTCAGTGATCTTTTACTAAATAAAATGCTTCTGGATCAGTTGCATTATTTGAGATACACTATTTGAGTAGATAAAGAAAGGTACTAGAATTAAATAGAACATTGAAAGCTATTCATAAGATACAAAAGCTAGGCACGAACAAATTGAATAATGTTTTCAACGCGGAAAGCCATTTTTCTGACGATCTATGCGGAAAATCGTGGCTGGGAAATCGGTAAACAGGAGAAGGACAATGGTGAAGAGGAAAGGAGAAGAAAAGAGAAGGAGAGGGGCAAAAGGAGCAATGTTTTGAATGAATATTGAATTGGGCTAAGCGGAGACTAGAGGAAAAGAGCAATGGAATAGGCAAATTGGAGAAGAGAAACGGAGTTGCATTGGATTTTTGGTACTATTCGTGCTAAATATTATGCTTTAACTACTAGTAAGCTTATGATAAATCAATCAAGTGTGAATCGCTTAAGGATAGACTTTAATCTACATAAATTACGTAAAACTTGTGTGAAATATAGAAACAAACTGACGTAGTAAAGGCAAGTTTTACGCTTTGCTCCTATCAACAATTGAGCTATATAAAAAAGAATTTGATTCGTACGAGAATTGGAGAAAGAAAAATAATGTTTGGGTAAAAAAAAAGCTTTTGCTTTGGGAGAGAAGGGAGCACCAACAATAAAAGAAGAGAGAAATGGCGGATAGAAATGGGTGAAGTGAAGGGCAAAAACTGAATATTCTCTTGCGTGTCTCTTTTCGAAAAGAGAAAGATGCTAGTCATTTCTTTCTTTCTTTCTTTCTTTTTCCACTAGGGAAAACTCGCTTTCTATTGTTGAGTTGTGAACGGGGAAAAGAGAAGAGGGGAATAAAAGAATGAATACATTCACTGTTCATGTGATGGTTAGAGTTATTCCGGTGATTTGATGGATGAGTATAGTTGGGATAGAATTGATAGATCGATTATGCAATTGATAGTTCGATTTTTCAAGCAGTCAGCTCTCAATTTCATCTCGTTTTCCCAGAAATGGGTTGAATGATGCGAGCATGACATTGAAATTTCAGGAAATTCTATTTACTAAAGCAACAAAGGATCAAGAATTGCGCACTTTCAACCATAAGATTAAGTCTTATAAAGAAAAACATAATCGTCTCCCAACTAGTTCAAGACTTTAAATGCTCTTCTGTTGTTCATGATATCAACTTTCTTTAAAGTTTTGAATCTGATAGCTTTTCTTTGATTATCAATATTTGTTTTACATGAACACCAATTGCTGTGTATAGCCAACAAATGAAATATAACAGAAATTGAAATAAGCTCAAAAATTTTGAATTAAAGTAATCAGTCGATCAAAAACGTGCCAGAAAGCTTAAAATCTTTGTCTTTGTTTCTAACACTTTTTTTTCGACTAACAATACTCTCGAACTTTTTGAAACCATCTGGCTTGCCATAAAGCTAGCTTATCACTCACTTGTATCTCATTTTGTTGTACTCTTTGCTCCAATTTCTCGATCTCTTGATTCCTCTCAGCGTGCACTCTTTCCAACCATTCGATGTGTCGTTTAAACCATCGAAATTGTCTTTCCACGCACAACTCTCGATCCAAATCGGTGGTGGCCTCGAGTCGGTGACGACTCTCCGCATCACTGCCCGATTCCGAGTGCCCAGCAGACCAATGACCTGCAATAAAACTGTAATATATTAATCTTAAAGGCATAGATTTCTGAATCGAAACAGTTAAGTCTTCAAACTCACCAGAATCCGGTCTGGGACTCGTTGACGCTGGATTGTTGGAGAGCAAGGCTCGGAGCTCTGTCGCTTCGTCTCGGAGCCTAAATTATTCTTTTTAAAGCGTAAACAAGTTTTCTTCTCACTTTTCATTTTCTTCCATCAATCGATCAATCATGTCTCGTGCTTTGTAATCATTCGGTAGATGCGATTCGACGAGACGATCGATCTCAAGACGCAATTTTGAGTTCATCGCCTCAAGCTCCTGTAAAATAGTTGATAGTAAATTATGTAAATTAAGAATTAAACTTAATTAACAGTAGCTAGTAAATCAATTTAAAAGACCACTTAGTGAATGAAAATGCTTTAAAAAAAAGTGCACCTGATGTCTCAACTGATCGGCTGCTTTGAGTGATGGCCTTTTGTCCAGACTCTCCAATAGATTCTCGGAATGGATCACCGATCGAAGTCTTTCATTATCCCGTTGTACTCGCTCAGATCTTGCCCTCAATTCGGAGATCATCTTTTGTTGATTCATGATTAGAGCTATCTCAGTGACGTCACCAGAATTGTTTCCACTTTGAAGCTTGTCGTTGCTTTGTTTCCTTTCTAAAATGATCATTAAATAAGTTAGTTAGTTATTTAATTAAATAATAGTATTTATGTAAAGTTAAATTAAGTTCAAAATAGCTATAATATTTATATAAAATATTTTATATTCGTAAAATTGGAGGATTTTTGTATGAACCACACCTTTCCTATACTCTTTAATTCTAAAAATCTTTGCAAGGATCCTTATTTGCTTAATTTAAATCTTATAATACCATCTAGTTTTACCCGAAGACTTTTCCTCAAATCCTTTATCCATTTCACTTACCCATTTTTCCGAGCGCTCCACTCGCCAGCAGATTCGCATTGTCCACCAATTGTTTCCTCATCATCGACAAATCGCTCTCGAATTTCTCCTTTTGAAAGATTTCTGAAAAAGTTGATAAAATTAATGTTTGTTTGAAGATCATTAGTCACTCGGGGGGTTTCAAATGTTGCAGGAAAAAAAAATAAAAGTCAATCTTCAAATCAATTCTAAATCTACGCAATTATAGAACCTCTAAGGAGTCCTTAGAGGTTCTATAATTGCGTAGATTTAGAAGGTTATCTAAATTCCTTGTTACTATTATTGTCAGTTTTCATTTACCTGCTCTCAATCGGCTATTCACAATGTCCCGTTCCTTTTCAGCACCTTCAGCTCGAGTTTTCAGCTCGGAATACTGATCGCGGAGATGTGAAAGTTGTTGCTCGTAGTCAGCACGACACTAAATGAAATTGATTAAAGTATGATAGTTTCTATAATTTATAGTTTCCATAAATGTCATTCATCTAATTCTTTAAAATCTTTCTATCATAATCTATACTAAAACTTTCGAGAAAGGCTGAAAAAGAACAAATTTTCAGAGGTGACTTTTAACGTCACTTTGCCAGAGTTTAACTTGAGAATCTCTAAAGATTTACAGTAAACCTTAGAAGTGAATAAAATAACTTAATCATAAAATGAATAACAGATAAATGAAACTTGGATTGAACATGTTTTATGAAATGGTTACCACTCGGCAATCTTACCTGTGCCAGTTTACTTTCAGCGACTTGACACCGACTGTCAGCCTCGATTTTCTCACTCTCACGTACTTCTAATTCAACCTAAAAGTAGAAAAATAAGTTTTAAACAATAAATTGAAAGTCATTCGTAAGATTAAGAATCTCTAAAACTTAAAAAAATAGACGATAACATTATTTGCAAAGAGAAAAAGATTCCTTTTTAATGTTTGGGCAAAAGATAAAAGTGGCTGAAATCTTTCTCTCAACAAATAAAAAAACGGAAAAAAACGTTTGTGACAAAGGCAAAGTTTGACCGTTTATCTATTTAAATGTAAATGATATGCAAATTGAGATGGGAATGATTCGAAAGGGAAAAGCGTTTACCTGCAATCGATCGACCTCCATCTCTAGCTCCAACATTCGATCGCGAGCTTTGATCAGTAATGGTCTAAAAGTATCAACTTTAACATTAGAACTTTAAAGTTAACTATCAAATTAATGTTCTTTTAGGCTTTAAGTTCTACTTTTTTAAAGCTGTTTGGAAAGGTTTACCTCTCCGATTGAAGATTGGTGAGATCGGCTCCGAGGAGCTCCATCGCTTGCCGGTTTTCCGCCAACTGGGCTGTGAGCTTTTGCTTCTGAAAAAAAAAATGTTATTTGATAATGTGATCTTTTAGAAAATGATATAATAGACAACTTTTTACCAATTAGCGCTTGACTTTTCTATATCATAGGAAAAAGGAAGAGGAAACCTTAAAGAAGTACGGGGAAAGTTCAGATTAGCTGTAAAATTACTGTAAAAACTGAAGGATTCCTGTAAAAGTTTATCTTCATTACAAGATTTTTTGAAAATTTTCTCAGAAGAACGGATTTCAGTGTTGAAAGAGCTCTTTCACAATCTCACAAAGACTATCCAAATCTGCAAAGAGCTCTTTGTCTTAGAAAAATCTTCAATTAAACTTTTTTGTTCTAGATTTGTAAATGTGAAAAAGTGAGAGAAAGGTCAACTTTTGGTTGCTCAAACTTTTTTTTCTTTTAAAGAAGAAGCCTCATGGGGCAAAGGGACAACTTCAAGTGCAAGGGGGAGACCGGGACGTTTTTTTCGAGTAGGAAACTACTCCTTGGGGACAAATCAAACCAAAAGACTGATCGGTGAGGGGACAAAGGAAAAAAAAGGAATCGAGGAAAGGAATTGAGGTCTTCGGGAGTTGGCAATTGTGGCAATTGTCAATCTTTGGGAGTTGGCAATTGCGAGTTGGTGAAGATGGAGATTTTCGAGGGTAAGCTTTTAATCTGCCTGATTGTTGACTTTAGAAAAGTGATTTAAAAAATTGATCTTGATCGTTTAAAAAGGAATTGGGAAAAATTAAGATCAATTTTCGGGAGTTGAAGATTAAGAAAAGCTTCGGATTGAGCAATAGCCAAAGGGAGAATTAAATTTAAAAAACGATGAATATTTTAGCTTTTCTAGCTTTAGTTTAGTTAGTTTTTTTTTTAGTTTAGCTTTTCAAATTCTAATATTTACTAATAGAATAGCTTTAAAAATCTCGTTTTTCGAAAAATCATTAAAAATGCAACTTAATCTCAAAATAAGAGCATAGCTTTATTTAAAGTTTTCAAGTTTAGCTCACGAAATTGAAACGAAATAGATGAGTTTAGCTTACAATTTTTCGATATACTCTACAACGAACGCCGAAGTCACATTTGAGAGTCTCAACTCGAATCAAATTTTTCTTAGAGAGGCTGGCGGATATGGGTCTAAAAAGGACATGAAAAAAAGGACTGTTAGTTCCCGTGGGGATTCCCCGACTGCAACACAACACAGCGGAAAAAAAAACCTTTATGAAAATATATGTAAAGAGGGTGAAAGGGAAATGTGGGAAAATTTCGACAAAACATTCAACTAAACATTGATTTCATGGTAAGTGGAGTATTTTTGCAAAAAAAAAATTATATGATCACTCGTTTGTAAAAGTGACAGCTTGAGATTGAAGTTGAATTGACAAAGCTGAAATTGTTAGGCTAATTTAAAAGTAAATGTTAAAAGTGTTAAGCTACTTTAAACTTCAAAAAATAGATATATTTATCTACTGATTGTTCTCTAGATGGATCTACAAGGACTTTGCGAAACGCTATCGTGTTCTCGATTACTCGATTAAGTATCCTGATTACTGATCAAGTTTAGTTTAGTAAATAGTTTAGTAAATAAATTAAATAAATAAAATAAATCAAGTTTAGTAAATAAATTCAATTTCGGGTTGAAAAGATTACTCTTGAAACAATTCTGATAGGATGTGATGAGAAAACTTTTAGCTGAACTTGTAAAATGTAAAAAAGAAACACCTCTGTTTCTTGTCAATTGATTAAAAGTAGGAAAGCTAAAAGAAAAACAGTAATCTTCACGTAAACAAGTGCGGAAGTTGTCGAGGAAAGCGGAGGATAGGCCAAGTTTTGGCAGGTTCGGATGGTCAATCAGTCAATCAACGAGGAAAAGAAAAAGGAGAAGTGGATAGGCTTCACACATTGCGTGGCCAATGCCGCGCACAAAAACAAACACCAAATGGATTGGTGAGGAATAGAGAAAAAGAGGTGCGTATCATTTTGATCTAATGGCTTGGATAGAAATCATTTCCCACACTCTACTTTAACCTTAAATACGATACAAGCTTGTATATCAGAAAATAGCATTAAAGTTTTCAAATGAAAGCATAAGATTTAGTTGATCTAGTTTAGTAATCATACCGTAAATACTGTAATATAGTACCCCACCCCCCTCGTACAGTCGCGTAGTCGCAAAAGTTTATTAGTATTTCATTTTTTTCAAAGCACCCGTACTTTCAAAAAATGCGTCTTTGGTATCAAAAAATAGCCCTGAATTTCAGCTATTTTTTGATACCTAAGCGCGCATTGTAGCATAAACCAGTGTCGAGAAAAACTCGCTCAAAGCTAGACTACGCAACACTCCGCACCGTCATTATGGGGGTGGGGTACTATTACAGTATTTACGGTAGGTACCAAAAGCGCTTTAGTAAAACGTTCTTCTTAAGAAAAAAACTTATTAACATTAAAGATTCAGCTTGTGATTAAAAAGAAAGCTGAAAGAGAAAAAAAGCAAGTTTCCTAATGGGATTTGGGGAGAACCGGCTAAAAATTCCCCACAATCACCTAATTTTTTAACGTGGTTTGGAAAAGAATCAAAAAAAAAGGGGGAAAGTGAAAACAGGATGTAAATTATGTGTGTTCTGTTGATCAATTTCAAATAACTTTCTTCATTGAGTAGTTTTTTTTTTAAAACGTGTCAACTTTCAAAAACAATTGTAATCTTTTCTAGTTTACCCAATCTACTTTTGTCTGAAAGTGAAAAAGTTAGAGACAAAATGAGTGGATTAGGTAAAGGATTACGGTAGTTTATCACAAGTTTGTTATTGTTATTTAGAGAATGAGGATTACGGTAGCTTAAAAACTGTAGTTAACGGCGATCGATCGCTTTTCATGAAATCCGCTTTTTAGAAAGCTTCAGAAAGAACAAGAGCAAGACAAGATGAAGAAATTTGATGTGATTCCGCAAAAGGAAAGAAGCAAAAAAAACTTAACTAATTAACTAACTTAATCTTAACTTTAAAATATCTAGTCTTTTTGCGAAACAGAATGCAACATTTTTCGAAAAGAACCGGAAACACGCCGAAAGCACGCGATATTTCACATTCAAACTAGGAGATTTGAAAGAAAAATCGAAAAAAAACAAAGATCAAATAGATAAAGTACAGTCGGACCTCTCTATAACGAACCTCGATATAACGTAAACCTCTCTATAACGTAAGGCGTGACCGGTCCCGGCCAAATGTAATACAAAATGTCTATAAAAAAACCTCGATATAACGTAACTTTGTATAACGTAAACCTCTATACAACGGAAAATTTTGCCTGAAAATATGCAATTTTTTGTTCCATATAACGGATTTTATGCTAAAACGTGGATATTTCTTCCAACTACCATGCTCTTTGGATGGACTATTCTAATCTGTGGCCTTTTTGCCACAATTTAAAAGAAGAAAAAAATCACTTACATAGATTCTTAATAAGTTTTTTGCGTTCATATATCGTTCACTTATTCTTTTTACGTGCTTATTTTCTGTATTAAATGATATTTATCATTTTTCAGGCGATGGAGCGAAAGAAGGCGACCCGGAAAAGGATCGATCTAGCTGAAAAAAGCGAATTCTTGATGCTTCAACTTCGAAAGGAGTAACGGATTTAGCAAGGGAATTCAAGCGGCCAATTTCGACCATTTCTTCGATTTTGGGCCAAAAGCAAACGATTTCTAATGCGATCAATGACGGTTCTCAGGGCAAGCGAGCACGAGTGAAGAATAGCAAACACGAGGACCTGGAAGGTGCGGTTATTTCTTGGTTGAAAGAGATTCGAAGCAACAATGAATGTGTGGACGGAAATTTGCTTCGAACAAAAGCTCTGGAGCTTGCAAAGTTGATGGGTATTACCGATTTCCGAGCTAGCAATGGATGGCTAGAAAAGCTGAAGCATAGGCATGGCATTGTTTTTCGTTCCCCTACAAGGAGAAGCAGCCGAAATCGACCTGAACAATGTTGAGCAGTGGAAAGATGAAGTATTGAAGGGACTCTTGAAAGAATTTGAGCCAAAGAATGTTTTTAACTTGGATGAAACAGCTCTTTTTTACAAGCTCTTACAAGCTCTTTTTTTTAAACGTTGTCTTTCAAAGGCGATAGATGCACAAGTGGAAAGAAGAGCAAGGATAGAGTCACTGTTCTCGTCGGATCAAATATGGATGGAAGCGAAAGATGCCCTTTATTCGTGATTGGTAAATCGAAGCATCCGCGTTGCTTTAAGGATGTCAAAAAAACTTCCTGTTTTGTCCGAAGCAAATTCAAGAGCGTGGATGACCAGCGAATTATTTGAGAGCTATCTCAAGAAATGGAATTCAAATTTGATCAAATTTAATCGGGAAATTTTGTTGTTTATTGATAACTGTCCAGCACATCCGAAGCTCAATTTATCAAACATTCAGATTAAATTCTTTTTGCCGAATGCAACTGCGGCAATCCAACCAATGGATATGAGAATAATTAAAAATCTGAAGGTCAGATACCGAACAGGATTGTTGAAACAAAGAATTGCAGCTGTCGATGCAAAGGCCAAATTCGAATTTAATCTTTTGGATGCACTATACTTACTCGAAGAATCCTGGAATGACGTTAAAGTGGAGACGCTTTCAAATTGTTTTCGTAAGGCCGGATTCAAGAGATGTATGCAAGATGAGCCGCCATTTATCGAAAACAATAACGACGACGATAACTCGCTACAATCATTGCAGGCTATCTGGAATTAACTTATTGATAGTGAAGACGTTGATCGATCAATCAATCCTTTGGAATTTGCTTGCGCCGACGAAAATGTTGTGACTACAGGGTTAAGATCGCTAGAGGAAATTGCACTAGCTGCTAAAGGTACAGATTATATCGTTTAAAGTAATGCTAATTTAAGGAAAAGATCAATTATGTTTCCTTAGGTTCGCAACTACAGTCGATTTCTTCTGATAGCGAGGATGATGAGCCAATCGTTGAAGACGTGGAAGAGCCGATAGTGACACGATCCGAGGCATATCTACATCTTCAAAAGCTCAAGATATTTGTGAGGAATAACCCTAATTCCGAAATTGTTAAGGCTTTAGCAACTTTTGATAATTTTTTTCTTTGATCAGGCTTTTTTTTCTCCTAAACAATCCCGTTTGACTAACTTTTTTGTTAAACTTTGATGCTTTTTGATAATTTTTTTACCTTTTTTGTTGAGTTTTTGCAATAAATATGTTCCAATACCTCTACATAACGTAATGGTTGCAATAAACCCTGCGTTTTTGATTCTATATAACAAAACCTCGATATAACGTAAACCTCTATATAACGTAAACTATAGCCGGTCCCGTGAGTTACGTTGTAGAGAGGTTCGACTGTATATGAAAATTTTGAAATTGCTACTACTCACCTCGTTTTCTTTCGTTTTCAACTGCTCGGTGAGCTTCATTTCCAGCAATTTCTTCTCATTTTCGAGCGCGCGAATTTTTGTCACCTCATGATTCTAAAAAGCAAATTTTCTTTCTAAAAATGTTTCTAAAAAATGAATTTTTAGATTTTTCACTCACTGAAGTGTCCAATTTGATTTGCAGCTCGATGATTTTATTCTCGAGTCCTTTGTTGAGTTTCTGGAGATGACCAACGGAGCGAGCTTCGATTCGAGCTTCTCGTAAACGTCGTTTTGCCAACCAACGACGCACCCAGCATTGAACCTAAAATTTATATAATAGTGGCAAGTTTTTATTGTTTTTTTTGTTCTGGCATAAGTTTGATGCTCAAGAGCTTAAAACCTGCCTGAACTGAACATGGTAAAGATTGAAAAACATTCAATTTCAAACACTGAAAGAAATAAGACAAATATTGAAAGTATTAGCCTATATTGATGTAGTCTCTAAATTTCGAGCTCATTCACTCACCTTGATGACTTTTCGAATGTACTTGACACGTTCGCGGCGTACCATGTAGCCGCGGAAATAGCGCTGGATTGTGATCGCGCACTTCTCATAACGCATCTGAAAATGGAATGAAAAGAGAAATAATTGAAAAATTCAATAATGATCTAGAATTTATTCTCTTTTCAAACCCACCTTTTGATAAGCTCTTCGAATAACATTCGCTCGGTGGGCTGATTGGATGGCGATGACGGCGTTGAGGAGACTTTTATAGCGCTTCTCGGCAATGTAGCGTCTAAAAATTGTACGATACATGAAGCAAGGAGCAAAATAAACAATAGTTAATGCAAATTTTGAAAAAACTCACCTCCAAGTCGTCTGAATCTTGACAGCAGCTCGTTGCATTTGGAGGTAATGCAAGCGGCGACACGCGAGATGGGCCCGAAGTGAGGCCTGCAACTTTGAAAGTTTGCTAATTTTTGAATAAATTGATAAATTATCAGATAAACTAAGTATTTCATAAGTAGAAAACTCAAAAATTTCAAAACTTTAGCACCTGGATGAGTCGAACGGCGGCCATGAGCTTTTCGTAGCGCTTTCGGGCGACATACCCACGCCAAATGGATTGGATTTTCGTGGCACTTCTGGAAAAGGAATTAGCTATAGCTTTTAATGTAAAATTTCAAAATTTTCGTATTTAAAAGTTTTGTTTTACCTTGTCAGCGTCTCTTGTCGCAGTCTTTCCAACAGAGCAACCTGGCCAGTTCGGAAGAAAATCTTTGTGCGTCCAAGCGCGAACTTTTCTTCCTAGAAACAATTGAGAAAATTGCTAAAACGTTTTTTCTCTATTATTCTCACCTCCAGAATTTTGCTGCAAGCTTTTTGAGCGAATTGCTTGCAACCGTCGTGTGTTCTCAACAGAGCGCCACCGGATGGATAAAGAACACGATAGCGTTTCGCAAAGTCCTCGTAGATCCATCTAGAGAACAATCAGTAGACAATTCATAGAAATATATCTATTTTTTGAAGTTTAAAAAATTTTTAACCTGCTTGGGTAGCCTTCAGCCGAGATGCGGACCGTCTCGAGTACACCGCAAGCGCGCAGCTGTTGGATGGCTCGTTTCGGCTCGAAAAAGAACTCTTCCTAAAAATGCACAGTATGATACACATTGGACATTATATTTCAAGTTTTTGCTGAAAAAAAACCTTTTCATCGTTTGGCTTTATACAGCGAACGTAGTGTGGGCGAGTTGCTTGCAGTACGATCATCAACTCGCGTAAAGAGTCACGGAACTGAAAACTTTTGATGACTGAATATTTCGAGGACTCAGATCGCATTATTCTGTTTGGCTACTGTTTAAGTAACACCAATGGTTTAGCGGGACGCCTTTGTCCTTTGTCCTTAACCCTTTGTCCCAAGAGGAATCGAATTAGGTTTGGGGTTTATTATCCCAAATATTTATTGATTATTAATTTATTATCTGAGAAACTGTATTTTGTCTGACTGACATATCTTAGCATTTCACAATGAAAAGACTCATATTTTGTCCATTTCGAATTTCCTCAATAAACCGAAAATTCTGTTTACCTGTCCGGCGACAGTCTTCTTGATGGTTCCAGGTTTTCGGCCGCTTGCCGGCTCCTCGATAACAGATGAGATGATCGTTTTGAGGAAATTGCTCTAAAATATTCAGTTTAATAATATCTATTTTGCTATTTCTCAAGTTTTATCTCAAGTATCCACCTTTGTCTGTGCAATCACTTCCAGCAGTTGCGCGTTCACACTGTCCTTATTTTTCTCAACGAAACCATCGATTTGATAAGAGACGTCGGCGGCGAAGTGCCGAACCATGAACGACGAGGCTCTAAAGGTAAATCTATAAAGAAAAATCCAGCTACAATCCAGCTACAATCCAGCTAAAATCCAGCTATCTTAGCCTTTTATAGACAGTTATTATCCTCAAATTGTATTTGGTTTGACTGACTTGATCTTTGGCATTTGTAGATGCGGTTGCTTCTTCAGCTGAGGACAATTCGTGATTTGATCGAGCCAGCCGGGATCAGTGCCTTTGACGATTTTGCACTGTTCATCCAGGTACTCGATCAATCCCGGACGACCCTCGATCAACTCGATGCACGGTTGATTATCGTAGAAGTCGATTCGGACCTAGAACTTATGATCTAGGTCCGAATTCAACAACCCTGGATTCAAAGTCGCGCAAAATCTACTCCTAACTGCAATCAATTCATAGAGGTTAAGTTTTAAGTTTGCTTAACCTTTTTCTTTCAATATCTCCTTTATTTAATTTTTTTTGTTAATGAAGCCGGTCAAGCCAAATCAAACCCTTGTCTTTCCTCCTCTTTCTGATTTTCAACCAAAGCTTGGCTTGGCTTGGCCTGCTAGGAATAGCTCTTCTGACATTAACCCACCCAGCTGAGCTCTTCTCTCTCATATTCTTCTTGTTCCAACTTGAAGACGTGTTGATTAAACTGTTGTTGCAATTTCTCATTCGCATAGTTGATACAAAATTGCTCAAAACTGTTCACTTGAAAGGTTTCGAATCTAAAAAACTGACATCTTTATAAGAAAAATCAAGGAAACACTTTTTTATTAGATTCTGAAGATGCTTCACTTACCCATAGATATCCAAGACTCCAATGAATTTCTCATTCTGTCGCTTTTTCAATTTTTCCTTCCTTGCCAACGAAACGTTCACCTTTGCAACCACCCAATTGAAAAGATTCGAGTAAAGCATTTTTGCGAGAGCATCTCGATTCCGAAGAGACTAAAAACTAGTGTCATAGTAGCTATTAAAAGTTTGCTTTTAGCTTTCAAACCTCTTCTCTCGTCAACGGTTTCACGACAGTTTCATTGATTGCTCGAATCTCTCGATGTGTCAACCATCGTCGCAAGTCCGTCTCTTTCACCAAAAGGAGCTCTTGACAAAGGTGCTTCAGATCACTGCCGCATTTTGTCTAAAAGGAAGAAGACTATGCCAGAGAGGATTTGTTTGCACTTTTAAAAGTACAGAACTGAACTCAAAGCAAGCTCACCAAAATCGTCGATCCCTCATCACCCTCAAAGTCGACATTGCCGAGTGTGAGCACGGCGGCGAGCACACGGAAGAGTTCGCTCTGCTCAACGACAGTGAATCCGAGTAGATCAAGAGCTTGCACCTAAAGATATCAATACTATATCAATACTATTAAAAACTATTGTACTATTAAAAATTAAAAATCACCGTCTCTTCAAATTCAGCTCGATCGTCGACTTCATCGACATAAATATTTCTTCCCTGATTCGCGTAGAAATAATCATCAGCCGATTCTAAACAAAAAGTATTTGCAAAATGAAAAAAAACTACTGAAAACTCACTCAAATTCCAAGGTCTCAATAGTGCATGATCAAAACTGGCACACATTTGATAAAAGATGTGATAATTCCGCTCGTTTTGAGCCTGGAAAACCAAGCGCGACTTCTCCAAGAGGTAAGTTTTCATTTCTGCGCCCACAATCTCATTGCTAAAACTTTTATTGAAAAGCCAAAATCAAAACTAAAACTTTAATTGAAAAAATCCACTAACTTGTCTCCAAAATTGATTTGAATGAATTTCCCGAAACGACTCGAGTTATCATTGCGGATCGTTTTCGCGTTTCCGATCGCCTCCATAATTGGATTTGAGGCAAGGATTTTCTCCTCGATTCCCCGGAAACCTTGATTCCCACCAGCAACGGTAGCGAGGTATCTAAATGCGAAAGGATACGGTCAAAGAAAGGTAACGGCCTAGTGGACTTTGATTAATTTACCATAAGAACAAAAAAATGGTGTAATGGAGATAACTAGCTGTGCAATTGTGCAAGGGTCAATATCTAGAAGTCATTAAAAATCAATTTCAACTGTCAAAATTGGTTTTTTTTCGCACCAACCTCATGACATGTTTAGCCGAGACGGTTTTTCCTGCTCCCGATTCTCCGGAAACGATGATCGATTGATTTTTCTGATATTCACAAAGATCATAGTAGGCCTCTTCGGCCACCGCGTAGATATGTGGGTCAAGTTCACGAACTTGTTTCCCGACACCACGATAGATCTGAATTTATGATGACTATGGATCTATACTAGACATGAGAAAATTCCAACCCGAACCTAATTCCACCTTCGTTTTCTTAGCCGACTCTTGCCCGATTTTTGACTGATTCTTGGCCACTTCTTGGCCAATTCTTCTCCGATTTCCTCTGTAATTTTGTCTACAGATAGAAATCGAAATTTTCAGCATTTTGTAGACAAAATTTCAGAACAATCGGCCAAGAACCAACGACCAAGAACCAACCAACCAACGACCGAGAAACGAAAGTGGAATTTTCCCATGTCTAGTCTATACTCTACAAAATTCAAAAATACATACGTAAGTACAAAATCTTACTCCTTAACACATTTGAAATCACCTGTATCACATCATCACTGTAAAGGTGTCCACAATTTGCGTACGGATTTATAGCGACGAGCACGATTCCGCAATACGTGTACACGCATTTCCGGGTCATGAAGCGAAATTGGAGATTGTGAAGAACTGAAAATGAAAGAGAATTAGATTCCAAACTTAGATTCCAAACACTTACCAGCTGGTTCATGAAGATAACTCAAAGTGGTTAAATCGTCGACACCAATCAAAATGTCGGGATTACGCAAAAAAGGGAGACTCTCGGGGCCTTTAATCGAGATCTCGACCACCTAGAAGCTGATAAGTTCGTGAATTTTTGGAAAGCAAGAACAATTTTTAGGGACATTTATTTATATCCGCACATTTCCACAATCTGGATCACTTATGGGTAAACTTTGGCAGGATTTAGAAGCAAATAAAGTAGATAAATCCTAGCTTGAGACAGTAGGAATAATTTAGTTTTCTTGATTTAGAATACCACCGAAAAAGATTCCAAAAACCACTCACACTCTCGTCATCCAACTGAACATGAGCCCGGGTGGCGCCGATTTTAAGATCGTCGAGGAGAAATCCTAGAAAAAGATTTTCAGATAAGTAGATCGATTTTAAGAGATATATTTAAATTTAAAGATATCGGGGAGTGGGACAAATGCGACCTTTTTTGCGCACCCGGACATTTGCGCACCTTTTTTTCCGCACCTTGCCCATTGTTCGAAAATGCCGCACAAAATGCCGAAAATGCCGCACAAAATTGGCCGCTCAAAAGTCACTACTTTTGAAAAAGAATTTGGCTAAAAAGTGCTTAGAATGGTGTATATGGGCCTTATGCATCACCCAGAAGGGTTGGCAGTAAAATTTAAAAGGATCTAAAAAATTATAAGAGGGGACCCTTATCATTTTCAAGAGCCGACCTCCAGGGATTAAGGCTGAAAGAATTCTCTTGTTTTAAATATGTTTTTCGTCCGTTTTAGAGCATTTTCAATCAAGCTAGAGTGATTTTAAAAGATTTTAAAAAATTTTATATGTTCCCCCTTATGTGATTTTTTTTGGGGAGTCTGAAAAATGATAGGGAAAAAATAGAAGGCGCATGCCCTACAATTACAGTATTTACAACTAAAAAACATCAATTAAAGATGCAACTTACCACAAATCCATACGAGTTCCGAGTGTCGTTGCCAGATCCGAGCTCCTTTTTTTGTAATTCTCGAAAGCGAATGCCTGATTGCGTCCGAGCGTCGCGTTGCCGTTCATTTTCTAAAAATAGTTGATAACTTTTTGCAAATCTAAAGCAATGAAATTGTTAAACAGTTTTCTGTTTTAACATCAACTACCATAATACCTGTAACAGAAGAGGAAGGAAAAACTTTAAAAAAGTACCATCTATTATAAAAGCGGTCTTCATAAATAACGAAAATATCTTCCGAAAACTGTTTTTTTTTTATATCAAAATGATGCTTTTACGTGCCATTACGTGACTTTTATTTCAACAAAACAACTTAGTATCATTAAATTTCTTTTCATGAAATTTTTAGAGTCGCTCTCATCGTATTTTAAACATTGCTTTTTCTAGCACCACCACACAGCACGAATGGCCGAGTCTAAGGCGAGGTCTAAGGCGCCGGACTTAAGCGGCAGCTTCCCCGTGCTACACGGGTTCGGGTCTTCTGGTATCTTCGGATGCGTGGCTTCGAATTCCACCACCGTAGAAGATTCCACCACTCGAATTTGCATTTTTGCAAATTCGAGAAAATATTATAGAGAGACAAGTCAAGGATGACCCATGAACTACTTTACTTTTGGATTGCTTCCAAAAGTATACAAAAATAGCGGTAAAGATAACAATATTTTGTGATGTTATTTCAGCGGTTAATACTAGTAAGCAAATCCCCGTTTGCAGCCGGTGTCCTAAACTTTCAGAGATTTAGAAAGAGAAGAGTGAAAAAGGGTGGCCATGACTTATTCTTTAGCATAATACAGCCTGTGGTAGACAGTTCTGGTTAAAATTTTAGTCAAGATTCCGCTTTTTTAAGTATTTTGATCGAAATCCGAACAAATTTGGGTCTAAAAAAGGTCATTTTTAAAAATTGGGCGGTCGTCTCTAGTTAGATGGAAATTAGAAGAGCATCCTCTTCTATTACAGGTATTACGGTATTCAGTTTTTCTATAAAATCAAACCTTTCTTTATTGTGTGCAGCTTTTTGTTCATCACTGGGTGTAATAGATCAAAAGAGAGGGACAATTTGCTGAAAAAAAAGCGGTAAGAAATTTAAATAAAATCAAAATAAAATCAACCTCTCAGAAATTAGAAAAAGTCAAGACAGTGAACAAGAGTAATAAGTTTCTAGGTGAAGAAAACGTTTTTTAGAAATAGAATTTGAAATCGGTTAAAGATAGACAAGAGATCATTGATCAAACATAAAACATCACTAGATTTGAATTTTATTTTACAGCGATCCTAGATGACTAACAGCCGGAAAAGAGGGAAATGTGTCGATGTTTTGATAGTGGTTTAGTGGGAAGAGAAGGGAATGGGCATGACGAGTTTGGAAAAGGAAAAAGGAAAAGAGAAAAGGGAAAAGCAAGGGATTGGGGTCGGGGGAGGGACCACAAAAGGAGAAGTCCCGAAAGAGTCGAACAGTTTTGCGACAATCGTCCAGAAAAGGAGCCGAGGATGGAACAAATAGAACAAAGAGATGAAATGGAATGTGGAATGAAGTGGATCTGAACAAGAAAAGTGACTGGCTAAAGAATGGCTTTATTCAGAGAAGTTTAATAACAATAGTGCAAGCTGTGAGCTGATCAACTTTCGAGTTACTGATTGAGAAGATGATTCTCAAGATTCTAACACCATTACTATTAGGTTGTCTCCAGATATAAATGCGCGTTTTTAAGATAACAACTCTTTATTTTAAAACCAACAGTTTAACAGCTCAATCAACAATATATTCAACATTTGTTAACAATATTTGTTTCCATCTTCCATGCAAAGAATGAATTCCCTCGGCGTAAAAATTGGCTTGTTTTAAGGCAAAGAAGTCGGCTAACCATATTTTTCGTCCTCTTGAACATCTTTGAACCTGTTTCCAGCCCAATGGTTTCGCATTGAGCGAAATAAATGATAATCCGAAGGAAAAATATCCGGAGAATATGGCGGATGCAGGAGAGTATAGAGAATAGGGTTTGATAAAATTGCATAGCCCTATGGTACGCTGTTCAAGAGCAGGCGCGCATTCATAACTGGACAACCTAATATATGTATCAAACAGAAAATTGGAAACGAAAAAGTAAAATGTGAAAGTGAACAATAAAGATTATTGTGAAAATATGGAAAATTAAAGATTAAAGAAAAGAATGTGAAAATTAAAGAAAAGAAAAAAAATCGAAACATTTTAGCAAGTTTATGATTAAATTTGTTTACTAGATGATGGCAAAAAAAATCATTTATTGGATGTAAATAAAAGGCTCTTGTACAAGACAAAAAAACGCGACACTCATCAAAGGGGAAAAAAGAGAGTGGTCAAACATTGGACAAACACGAGTGTGAATCTTGTTTTTTGCCTTGATGAGTGGGGAAACGAAAAATGTATAACGTTGTACGTCGAACGTACTAACTACTAAATGAAGCAGAGAAAAGACAGATAAAACCAAGCTCTAATAGTTTCCTTCAAGCTTTCTAAGAAATCCAAAAACTGGAAAAGAATTGATTCGGGAAATTTTCGTGTTGTTAAGGCCATTAATCAAAAGGCTGCTTGAAAAGCGGAAAAATAGAAATGCAAATGCAAATTGCGGGCCTTGTTTCGCATCAAATCTCTAGGGTCAAATTGGGCATTTGGTAAAGAGAATCTAGGGAATAAGGGAATGAAAGGGGACAAGGGACAGGTGTAGCTATGGCTATAGTGAGTGAAATGGAGGGTGCACGGGGGTGGAGGGGGGTGGAGGGATCTTTCGCAACCTCTCCTCAACCCTTTGCCCAGGCAAAACCCGCACAGTCCGTCCCTTGCGCATTCACGGTTGGTAGGCATGAAATTATACCATTTTTTGCTTTATAAAAGATTCTTCGGAGCTAGCTATTGTTTATCAACAGATTCTTATCAAAAGCCAGCTATTGTTCAAGTACACAATCACTGTCTAATAGTCTAAAGAACAGAGATTTCAAAAGTTGATCCTTTTGCATTACATAAACACCTGATTGAGATATGCAAATTAGTTCAAGGCTTGATAGAATGCAAGGCTGGACAAAAACCTAATTCTCCAGGCTAAACCAAGCCAAGACCAAGCCAAGACCAAGCCAAGACAAGACAAGACAAGCCAAATCAAGGCCATCGGCTTTGATTTCTTTTTGGCTTTCCGTTCAAACCTGGTACAGTCTAATCTCTAAATGATCTCTAAAGTTATTCTATGCAAATTAAACTGTTTGTAAGCGATGCATTGACTTGGTTAGTCTGATTAAAAACCATCTTATCAAAGTGTCTATCATTCGAGCTTTTGGGTGGTACTCTTTCACAATCGGCCACTTTACAGAATGGGAAAAGGGGTCGACTTGCCACCTGTATTCGGTTCTTTTCGTCGAGTGACGTGTCCTCTCTGATTGGCCGTTCATTTACAAGAACTATGTCAACCGGTTGCCGCAAAGAAAACTGGTTTTAAAAGGGGGATTTCGAAAAACAAAAAAGTGTTCAGCTCAGCCGTAGGTTAGAGAAAAGAGGATAAAATGTTGTTGTACTTCGAAAAATTCTTGTATTGTGATGGTGATAGCAAAAAAAACACAGATAAAACAATAGGGTAAAGATGAAAAAGTTGGGGTGATATTGTAAAAAGTGCAAGATATTTTGAATCAACTTATCGAAGTTTTGATTAAAGTTGGTTTAGGTTTAGCCTGGTTTAGCCTGGAGAATTAGGTTTTTGTCCAGCCTTGCATTCTATCAAGCCTTGAACTAATTTGCATATCTCAATCAGGTGTTTATGTAATGCAAAAGGATCAATTTTTTCAATCGATTGGCTAAACTAGGGTGAGTTTTACAAAAACACAAGTAAAAATCGATCGAAAAACTCGAAAAATCAGGATCGACAAAATAATTGAACCAAATTTTCAAAGAGTTCTCACAAAACTCACAAATCACTCAGAAAACTTGATGTTTTCATAAAAATTTATGGAAAGATCGTAGAAAACTGTAAAACTGAATTGAAGTAAACAGTTAATCGGAGTAATCTTTACAAGGAAAGTTAATTTCTAGGTAACTCTAGGTTTCTAAGTTTTTAGGTAAATATAGGTAACTTATAAAAAACAGGCATTGATTCGCCAAAAGTCCAGCATGTTTATTTTCTAGGAAGTGGTGGAAAGAGGGGAACAGACAGTTGGGGAAGGGGGGAAGGGGGGAAGGGTGCGGAAGAGCGACGACGGAAAAAAAACGATCGAAGGGCCGATCGACGGATGGACTTTTCTCTTTTCAAAGATTGGAGAGACGTGGACACTGAAGGAAATGGGAAAAAGAGAAAAGAGAAGAAAGGCTGAAATGGTGGATGAGAGAGATCGGAAAAGAGACTTCATTTGAAAGAGGCCTGGAGGTTGTCGGAAAGAACATCCATCCTTTTGCACCTTTGAAAGTTGGATTTGGGCTGAACTTTAAAAAGTTGTAAAGATAATGAGAAGTAGCTAGTGTAAGAGAGATTTGTATTTGAAAACCAACAAATTGGTAACCTAGCTGTAGCCAAATCATCTGACTATTCGATTATCCAAGTAAAATATTAAAAAAATCAAAAACCTATCAAAGTATTCTTCTATTAGATGATCTAAAAGCGATAATGAGACAAGCGATAGCATTCACTTTTGTTCAAAAGTGTTAAGTGAGCTAGAAATTAACCTTTCAAAGACTTGTAATTGCAAGAGAAGGTTCAAGTTTCATCTGCTGACACGTCCAAATACAAGGTGGTTGAAAAGTTCCGCCCGCATTAATAAACGTGTCTTTATAATAAAACTCCGTCAAGATAGAGCACAATGGGACACAAATGGGAGATTCATTCTCCTCCGAAACGGACGTCCGACTCAGAGTTGGACGTCCATCTCTGAGTCGGACGTCCGTTTCAGAGGAGAATTGCCAAACCGTACATATTACCAAATTATTTGTGAAGAAAAAAAGTAAATTGAGAGAATTTCCATTTTAACTTCCTTTTTCATTTGTTTTGTTCAAAACATTGGATTTTGCATTTAAACTATTTGTTCTCAAGATCGGACGTCCGAATCTGAGGAGATTCATTCTCCTCCGAAACGGACGTCCATCTCTGAGTCGGACGTCCGTTTCAGAGGAGAATGAATCTCCTCAGATTCGGACGTCCGGATCGGAGATGGACGTCTCCTCAGATTCGGACGTAACATATATATATATATATGTTGTGTCCGATTTAGATTCCGCCGTCGATTAGATTGAACTTATCGCGGACGTCCGATTTAGATTACAGTCTATATCGGACGTCCGATTAGATTCAATCTAAATCTTATATGGATTGAACAATAATATAAACATGCTTAATATATGTTCTTAAGCGTTTTCTGTAGTTTTCTGCATTTTTCAAAGGTCTTTTATTGATTACAGTCTATATCGGACGTCCGATCAGATCGAATAATAAACGTGCTTAACATATGTTCTTTGAAAATTTCTTTGAAAAGCGCAAAATTGCAAAAAAGCTTAAGGGAAGAAATTTAGACGGTGTTTTGTTTTGGTTGGGGGGGGTTGGGGCGGCCGGGGGGGGGATAGTTAATCTAATCGGACGGAAATCTAAATCGGACACAACATATATATATATATAAAGTTGACGCGCAAACAAACTGAAAAACAGTATTGGCTTACAGGAAATAATACTAAAAAATCTTTGAAACCATACTTTTCGTATCTCCAGATTTATATGTTTAGTGTATAGTCAAAAAAAAATTGTGTAACTATTAAAATTCGACACACATAAAATCTACTAAATCTAATCTACTAATAAAATCTAATGCGGACAGAATTTTTCAGCCATTCTGTAGTGTAAAAGTCTCATTTAAAGGCTTGGAAAAGTAATCATTGTAATATAGTTTATAATCATAAAACAATTTTAAATCTTTTGAACTTCTAGGAAAACAAAGCGAGACCAAGGCTGGTCTAAATAATGGTGAGAAAAGAAAAGAAGAGACCTTGCAAGGAGGTATTGTTGACTCAGAGGGACCGATGT